CTTTCAGATCAGAAATTACAACATTTTGATCGGAAGCAACGAGGGGAGTTTGCTCGCTGTGCAGGAAACTTTATCCTTTTCGTGCACAGTTCGGCTTCGCTCCTTAAATGACGTTCCCTTCCATTTTGATGGTAAGTTACAACATTTTGATCGGAAGCAACGAGAGGAGTTCGCTCGTTGTACAGGAAACTTTCTTCCTTTCGTGCGTAGTTTGGCTTCGCTCCTTGGACGACGTCCCCTTCTATTCATATCGGAACTTACAACATTTTGATCAGAAGCAACGAGAGTAGTTCGCTCGCTGTGCAGGAAACTTTCTCCCTTTCGTGCACAGTTTGACTTTGCTCCTTGGGACGATGTTTCCTTCCATTCGGATCGGGAGTTACAACAGTTTGATCGGAAGCAACGAGGGGATTTCGCTCGGTGTGAAGGAAACTTTCTCCTTTTCATGCGCAGTTCGGCTTGGCTCCTTGGATGACGTTCCCTTCCATTCATATCAGAAGTTACAACATTTTGATCAGAAGCAGCGAGGGGAGTTCGCTCGCTGTGAAGGAAGCTTTCTCCCTTTCGTGCGCTTTTTCGTTCGGGTTGTTGGCCGAATGCCGGGTCAAAATCAGGTTTTTGGGTCAACCCGAACCCGACCCGGAATTCCAAACGGGTCGAAAATCAGGACCCAAACCTGACCCGTTTCGGGTTGACCCGAACACGAAATTTTGCGTCGGGTTTTCGAGTCGTGTCCAATATCGACACCCCTAATTGAGGGGGTCTTTATGTAAGTCATCATTATATTGGTCTCTCCTCTATCTCATTCTGTGGAGTCCAATGCATGCTAATATATTTATTTATTTCAATCATCTTCCTCTTTCATAAATATTTCGCATCGACCCGGCGCTAATCGAGCCGATTTGAGCCCGATTAGGCTCGATCGCGCTTCATCGAGCATCGTCAAACTTAAATTGGCCCAAATCAATCTCAATTTAATTAAATTAAAGTTAATTTGATCGAAGCGATCTAAAATCGGTCCAAATCGAACCCAATCAAGCCTCGTTGAACCAAATTCGACGCGATTCGATGCCGATTCAAGTCCAATTTCTTAAAATTGACTTGATCATACCCAAATCAACTCAAATCGGTTCGGATCGAGTGCAATTCAGGCTCAATTTCTGCCCAAATCATAATTGGTGACGGTCGAACCATCCCAATTGCTCACTCAGGATCTGGTATTCTACCTACACCTCACAGTAAGCTTTGGCTATCCCAATTTCTTCACATTCCTCAACTTTCACATAATTTCCTATCCATATCAGCTCTAACAAAAGACAAAAACATCACCATTTCTTTTGATGTCAATGGTTTCATCATCAAGGACTTGAAGAGGCATCAAGTTTTTCTCAAGGGACCAAGCTATAATGGCCTCTATCCTCTCTCAACTACCAGTCATTCAACATTCACCGCAACTCATCAACTGTCCTCTATTTGGCACAAACATCTTGGGCATCACCATCATCAAGTGCTCAAGACAATCTCCAAAAACCACAAACAACTCCACATTCCTACTTCTAAAGTTCTTTGTCATGATTGTATTGTGTCCAAAAGTCATAAACTAGTTTTTCCTAAATTTGACTCTAGATCTTCTCAACCTCTTACACTACCACATTATAATGTATGGGGTCCTTCCTTAGTAGTATCTCATCAAGGTTTTAAGTACTACGTTGTATTCATAGACGATTTTTTTCCGGTTTACGTGAATTTTTCCTATGGTAAACAAATCAGATGTTGCACCCATATTCATCAAATTCAAAAATCTGATTGAAAACCAGCTACCATTCAAAATAAAAAGCCTACGATCTAATGAGGGAAAAGAGTACTTGAACTCACAAATGCATGAGTTTCTCAGTCAGTATTGTATACAGCATCAAATTTCTTGTCCCTATACACCAGAACAAAATGGTTTAACAGAGAGAAAGCATCGTCATTTGATAGAAACTACCAAAACTCTCCTAAACTCAGCGTATCTCCCATTCAAACTATGGCTTGAGGCAGCTCTTACCGCTTCTTTTCTCATTAATAAACTGTCATCCCGGTCCACAAACAGCATATCTCTAATACAAAGTCTATATAACATTTTACCTGATTACTCTGCATTAAAAACGTTTGTATGTCTGTGTTTTCCATGGCAACCACCAAATCAGCACAACAAATTTGCTCCTAAATCAATACCCTGTGTGTTCATCAGCTATTCATCCATCTTGAAGGGTTACAAATGCTTTGATCACAAGACCCACAAAATATATGTTTTCTCGATGCGTGGTCTTTGACAAGAATATGTTTCCAATTCAATCCTCCCAAACTGATTGGTCCACAACACAGTACTCCTCATATCCAATACCGGGTCTATTAACTCCTACATTCCAGACCTCTGCCAACAAGACTTTCACTATACAACAAATAATCCACACATCTGTCTCTCATGCTCCTACCTCTCATATCAGACACAATTCTCACTGACCACCCAATATCTTAGCTGAAGCATCATTGTCTAACCCTCCGGCCTCCAGACATTCCAATAGCAACTCATCCAATGATCACTAAATTCAAAACCGGCTCACTCAAGCCACGACAAATCCTCAATCTCGTACATGCTAATATCAGTGATGATATCTCAAACCAACAAGATCCTAAATGCTACATTGAAGCAGTCAAATCTGCTCACTGGCACAAGGCTATGGCTGAGAATTTTCTAGCTCTACAGCAGCAGGGTGCATGGAATTTAGTACCACATCCAGACAACAAACCGATACTAGGGTGTAAATGAACCTTCAGAACCAAATGACATTCTAATTGCTCAATTGCAAGATTCAATGCAAGGCTGGTAGCACAAGGTAATCACCAAGAGTATGGGATCAACTGCTCAGAAACATTTAGTCTGGTGGCTAAATTTCCAACCATTCGAGCTCTAATTACAATAACGATGCTCACAAGTGGGCCATACATCAATTGGATGTCGCATATACATTTATACATGGTGATCTAGAAGAGGCAATCTATATAAAGCAACCAAAAGGAATTGAAGATACCATACATCCCAATTATGTATGTCTTCTATGCAAAGCTATATACAATCTCGAACAAGCACCGCGGCAATGATTCAAACTGTTCTCTACGCATCTAAAATCACTCGGTTTTCAACATGGCAAAGCTGATTCATCTCTATTCATATTCCACCAAAACAACACTCAATTATATATGGTAATCTATGTGGATGACATTCTCCTAGCTGGCAATAATCCTACCATGATATCTCAGGTTCTTCATCAATTGAACCAGAAATTTACAATGAAACATCTCGGGACAATCACAAACTTTTTGGGTATTCAAATTACTCAGGCTAAGGATTCCTACTTCATGTCTCAATCATCATATGCAAAGTCTATATTTCAAACAGCCGGCCTACTTCAGTGCAAACCACTTTCAAATCCTACATCCACAAAGCTACTGACAGATATAAATACGGATCCTGTGTTGTTCGATTCCCATACCTACAGACAAATTATAGGTGCTTTACAATACTTAACAATCACTAGACCCGACATAGCATATGCCGTCAATGTACTCTGTCAACAGATGCATAACTCTTTATCAGAACACATATAGATGCTCAAGAACTTTTAAGATACATTAAAGGAACTTGTAACTACGACATTCCCATCTCACAAGGACCATTGAAGCTGCATTCATATTCGGACGCAGACTGGGTGAGTGATAAACAAGCTCGACGGTCTATAACAGGATATTGCACATTTTTGGGAAACACAATTCTGTTATGGAGTGTAAAGATGCAACATACTATTGCTCGTTCTTTGACAGAGGCGGAGTACAGAGCTTTGGCGGCGGCAACTGCTGATATAATTTGGCTGAGAAAATTTCTTCAGGATTTTATTATAAATCTGACCAATCCAACAGACTTAAGCTGTGATAACATATCAACTATTGCATTGGCCAATAATCATGTGTTTCACTCAAAATTGAAACACATTGAAATTGATCAACACTTCATTAGAGATCACATACAATCTCAAAATATTCGTGTAACTCCAGTCACCACTTAGGATCAGCTAGTAGATATACTTACGAAGACACTCTCTACAGCTCGTTTTCAGTTGCTACGAAACAAGCTTACCGTCCAACTTGGGCCGTTAGCTTGATGGGGAGTAATGACAATAACAGAAATAACGGAACAGGACTTTGGCTTGCATCAGTTTGGATCAATCACAGGGCTACACGTAGGCTTATTGACAGCTTATCCAAAGACTCCAACTAATTCTTCAATCCATCTAGAATGTTCTTTAGCTATCCTATATATATCATACTTGTATCTTGATAAAGATAAGAACTGTAATACAAGTGAATGCAAGAATGAATATTTGATTTCCACAGTAAATCATAAAGTTAATGATTAGGAAATTCAATGTTATTTGCCACGTAATATTTTCAATGCCATGTAAAAATTTCAAGCGTTCAAGATACAACAACAAAAACAACAACATACAGCTTTTATCCCACTGTGGGGTCAGCTACATAAATCTTTTTTCTCCATTGTGTCTTGTTAAGAGTCAAATTCACATTTAAATCTAATAAAGAAATGTCATTTCTAATATTTTCTAACCAAGTCTTTCTAGGTTTACCTCTTCCTTTCTTAACATAAGCCAAAATTTTCAAGCTTTCAAGATGATGCCTAAAAAATTTAGATACAGTTCACTAGCCAAGGTGGTAGAAATGCGCATGGAAAAAAATCTTGAAATGCTTAAATTTTATAAATCCAATGTAAAAACAATATAATAATCTTATAACTATTTAGTTTTTTTAAGAACAAGGATTTACTTCTAATTTCTGGAAGATGAAATAAAGAGTATTCTAACTTGAATATGATGATTGGTAAAATAGAAGGAAGATAGCTGAAAATTTTTCAAGTAATCAAATTTATAAAGCAATAATGAACATACTTGAGGTTTGCAATTTGTCAGGAATGATAGATCGAAGTCTGTTAACATTATATGCCCATCTTCCTGGAGTAGAATATTTTCAGGCTTCAAATCACGATATATTATTCCTGTATCGAAAAAGGGTGAATGTAAGTTGGAGAAAATAATGGTTATTGAAAAATGAATTTGAAGATCTAAAGTTGTGAAATATCTAAAATGAATTTGAAGATCTAAAAGGAGTTTTTACATTTGCCAATAATAACCTACTTTATTGCGACAGCTACATATTAATGCCATTTATTCATTAATTATTCGATTGCAATCACTTAATTTAGGAATAGCATGATTTGAAATTTCATAACTAAAGTTCAGTCAAATAGAATAAGTTAGCGATGTGCGAATCAGTAATAAGTTGTTGTATGATTCATCATCACTGCAAGTTTCTTGACCCACCATTTGGGTGTCCACACTCTTTGAGCTTATAAGGGTTTCCACCTCCTTTATTTAGGTTTAAATTTCACAACTTTGAATTACCAGTTTAAGGTTTGATTTAAAACTTATGCCAGTTACATTTACAGGCAATCTTTCAGGCAGTATTGGAATCTCTTAACTAAAATAAAAGAAGGAACTTAATCATAAATCTGTAACAAATCTCTCTTTCTTGACAGAAAAACATATTATGTAATCTATGCTTTGCTCTTAGCTATTCAACAAGTATTAAATGGGAACGCAGAAAAGATGGAACTGCTGCGGCATTCAGAATAGTATGAATCTCTTCAAATTAAAAAATGATACCTAGACAATGAAGGTATTCCAGGCCAACAATAACTTCAGCAGCATAAAACCTGGAATATGTTTGAACATCATCAATTTAAATTGCAGATGATCACTCGACATTGGTATTTAGTATTTATTGCTCTGTACAATGTTGTTTTTTCACTTAAAGATATGCTATTCAGTGGTCTATATTTGGATAAATTTTGTGAGCAAGACCTGGTGAGATTGCAAATGAGAGCTAAGATATGACAGGTCTGATATGCCATAGTTTCTTAACTTAGCGATGCTATATTTATGTTCAAAATCTATAGAGCTTGCAAAAAGTACAAATCCTATCAAGAATGTATAATTAAGTCAGTTTCGTATATCTTACCTCCAATAGCTTTCATGATGAATGATCCTTATAATAATCTGTGGATGCTAATATAAATTTTGAAATATCTCGACCTGATAGACGAAAATAAATTAAATCTTTTTTTCTAACACAACTTATAAATTTCCTTTATCCTACTGAAATTTATTCAAGCCTCATAGCCTAGTGACAAATATGATAGTTTATATTTCTCCAGCTTTATTTTGCCTGATTAATTGAAAGTAACTGTAACTTACATCACATATATTTGAAAGGAAAGTTGAAATTCATTATTGCCGTTTTATACAGGTGTTATTCTTGGGGTGCTGAAAAGCAATTCATAGTATCTCTAAAGAATTAGGAGTTTGATCCTAGATGGCTTAGCAGTATCTTCCTTATTGCAAGAATTGGAAAAAAAGTGCAAAAGATTTTACATATGCTAATTTACAGTACCTTGCAACTTCCTCTTTGATAATCTTCATAGGCTGCCTATCAAGCAATGCAAATAACTCTCCTCCCGGACAAAAGTCTGTTATCAAACAAACGTGTGTTGTTGTCTGAGAAATGAAGGTACAATTAGTAATGTCTGGCTATCTTTCTCTGTATCAATTTATACTTGTTATGGAAAAACCTAGGACAGCTCTGTTGGCAAACATTTTTTGTATATTTATTGTGTCAAGTGGCATTTTTTTATGATTTCACATGGCATTTTTTTAGCTTAGTGGAATGATACCTTTTCTGACTGGTTGATATACATTTTTCAAATTTTGCTTCTGGCAGCTAACATTTTTTGTATATTTTTGCCTCAATTTGCATTTTTTTGCTTAGTGGAATGTAAAGTCTGTGATACCTTTCTCTGGTTTATTGATGTACATTTTCCAAAATTTGCTCTGTTTGTTTTGATGAACTGAAAATTTGCTCTTTGCTTTATATATTTGATGCACTTTTAATGATATTAGAAAACTAGGTCATAATTTAGTTAACCTGAAAAGAAGCGTATAATGTTGGAAGGAAGGGATGGTCCAGTAACGAGTAAATTTCCCTCTCAATGCATGCTCGATGCACCTGTAGAAGTGACATTCCAAGTGAGTAATCAAATTTTGAACTTTATTGTAGTTTGCTAAATCATAAATGCTTGTGCCAGTAAGTATATGAAGGAAATTGATATGATATTTTAAGGGAAAAGACTGATGGTGTTTTGAATCTTTTTCTGCTAGGAGAAGATTAAAAATTTACATTTTGAAAGTTGCTTTTTGTGCAACCGCCAAAGTGATGTTTGGAGGCCACTTAGTGGGATAGTCAAAATATTGACAAACAGTTTAGCATCAGTTGACAAAAATTTTAGCATAATACCTTATTGCGGTTCATCATAACTACTTTGTCCATTGCCTTCATAGCAAATAGTTGGTTTGTGCCTTCAAGTTCCACTAAATGTACGCTGTAACAAATAACAAAATAACCTTATTAATTCAAATGCTGACATAAAAATGCAGCAAATTTATTAAATATATTTAAAATGGTTAAATTTTAAACTTTTTGTGTGAATGAATTAATATCATTTTTTTTGCTTGAAATAGGTGATCAGTAACATTAGTCTTTTCAACGAATTAAGTACATTAGAATTAGAAGGGATAATGCATGGTTGTCATAGACTTTTGAATTAGATGATCATAATCCTCCCTAGAAAAGTGTCAAATCCATAAGGGGTGCTAGGGTTGAAAGTGATTTGGGGGGGCTCTAAAAATACTAATTCAACCTAATTGAAACTAAAGGTCAATGCACAAATAAAATTGGAGTTTTGCTTGCAAAGTCAAGGTTAATACTTAATAGGCTCATGCAAGCATAAAATAGTTAAGGAAACATATGGTATCAAGGTGGAATCTCAATGCATGCTAACTAATTTCAAAATAATAAGTTTAGGCATGATTTTCATCCAAAATAGCAAGGGGGCCAAAATTGGAGCTTATTTCAGGTTTTGAATTTTAGTCAAAATCAACTTGAAAATTCACTGTAGGACTTTTTAGCTATTTTCCCAAAAAATTTTATATAAATCAAAGACAAATCCAGTAATCTACAATTCAAGGCATGAAAGGAGGACTTTTGACTAATATTCAAGGTGTTTTGGATTAGTCAAAAGTCAAAAATAACTCCATAAATCAAGTCTTGCATGGAACAGTCAACCATAAGACAATGGGGACATAGAAAATACTATAACTAACTCCAATAAATTATGGAAAGTGCCAATTTGAACTATACAAATTCCTTCCCCCACTCCCAGGCTTATAAGGGTGATTTAGAGGAATATTTCTTTATTCTATCAATAATAATTTTCTTTTAATTATCAAATAAATGTAAAAGAATTTAGATGATGACTTGTTTTATTAAATAATTTATCTAGATTGATAGGATTTATCTTATATTTTCTTATTTTTAGGTTAAAATTGATTTTTTGTGTAAATTTTTTTATTATATTTATATGGGAATTTGTTGGTTATAATTTGACGTTAATTGAATATAATTCAATTTATTGGCATTAGTCTATTCTATATTTATATCACCTCTCAACTTCATATAATCGATGGCTAAGTCCTAGATGATCTTGGAGGCATTTGCTTTCCTCTTGTTGACCTCATTTTCGAGCAGGGAATCAAACTTGTGTAGTGTTACCACTATTTTTAGTGTTTAATGAAAGATCCCAAGCTATCAAAATGCTATTTTTCCAAATTTTCTTGGCTACAAGTTGTGAATTTACTCGTACTTTTGGCTGAGCTCTGAGAAAAAAAAATTAGAGAAATATCAAGAAGACAAGTAGGAAAACTTGGGGAATGATGGTTCGATGGAAGAAAATTTAATTAAAATTTTTGTTGATCAATTCATGTTAATCTCTTTTCCTGGATCATATCATAATCAATTTGGGAAGAGTTTGTAATATAATTATATTGTCGTATTGAGTTGATTATGGATCAAGAAATGTCAACTGTTGTTAGAGAAGAGCTAAAGGCATGTTGAGTTATGGAGTTGTAACCACCAAACTTAGCCCTACACCATTTTGAGGAATGATTAGTGTAGTCGCAAAGAGAGCAAGGATAAAAGGTTTTTTCCCCATGGCCACAAGCACCATTCTAATCACTATGCTGCTCTGTTGCAAGGGCAAATTGGTCGGAAATAACCGAGTGATAGGAATTCGATCTCCACACACCCAAAAACAACAATAACAAAGTGACAACGCAATGTAAATCGGCAAGAAATAATGTGATTATGAGCTAATTTTATTGATATCGTCACTACAAACTAAGATACAAGTTAATCTACTATTTGAGAGGTACATCGACTCTCCACAAATCCTAGGCGATGCTTGGAACAACTCTAAAGAAAATTATTGTAAAACACAAAAATCCCATAATGAAAATAAAACAGTGAACAAGTGTGGTAAACATAAACAACACTAATGGCCTCTTTCTATTTTTCCCAGATGAGTGGATTAATGGTAAATGGTTTATATCAGAGAAGTTCATCATACTTTCTATAAGATATTGCAATATTCTGGAATAGTCAAATACTATTCTTGAAGAGAAAAGATATCAGAATATAGGGTGTAGTAAACATAAGCAATATTATTGCCTTGGAAATAGGTGGAATGGAGAAAATCTTACTTCTTTGTAATGTCTTAGAACATGATAGTTGCAATAAATTAGTAACCAAATAAGAACATAATTAGATTCTTGCAAATTAGAAAATTTCATAGTTTCATCACAAGTTGGAAGAGACGCATCAAGATGCTAGTTTTTCATGAGAACTAATAAGAAAATTAAAAGATTTTGACCACATATGTGATAGTTTGTACCATTAAATTTGATAGTGGATAACGTTTTTATCTCAGTACCAGATGAGGGAGAAGCTTAGACATCATGAGGAGGCACAAATAATCTAAGTAACTTGGATCATGAAGATGAGTAAATGCTGGAAAGATAAGAGTTGGTATTTTTTTTGTAGTGGAAAGCAACATTGAAACAAAATATACATCACTAATGGATTCTCCTTTTACTTTGATGCCTCTGATAGTGTCTACATTGATGAAAATGTCCAGTTTCAATGCCTAGATAGAAGCATGTGCTACTAGAGGGTAGGTTGCAAGGGAGGGCATAGCACTGAGGCAAGGGTGTTAGGTAGGGTACGAATGAGGCAATAGCGCAACAGCAATTGCTAACTATGCACATGTAAGGAGAGTACTTAGTACCGAGCAAGTGTGGTTTCAGACTAGTGATGAAGGCTCATGTAAGTGGTGCGAAAGTGAGCGAGTACAGGCAAGTAGGTCAACAAGCGAGTGTGAACTAATGTACGAGAAAGAGAAAGATGCCCAAGGGGTGGGAGGCGGAAGGTGGGAAGGCAATGTCTATAGCTTAACCCAGCTTTGATGCCATGTTAGAGTAGGCAATTTATTTTTGTCTTATTTATTTTGAAGAGTGTGTATACACACATACACAGAGACATGCAAATAAAATAAATACAAACGAAAAAAAATAAAAGAGAAGAATATCATCAATTTTGATGATATGAAATCATAAATAGAAAAATTTCAACTATTAATTAGTTGATTAATACTTCTCTATAATACCACTTTCTACTTGAACTTTTCAAAAGTAATATAAGTAACAACTTATCTAGCAATACCTTCCAGTATCCCCACAGCCCAAAGGTTTTATTGGTCTGAAATGCTTCAAACTTAATTGTTCACCTTCTCCAGTTATCTACATTTGTATGCAAATATAATTTGTCACTGTAAGATATGAGGAAGAATTGATGATTAGCTATTAAGTTTTTTGCCCTTTACTTGTCCACTTTATTTAAATAGCATGGTCATTAGATTCTTCCAATCAATGACCATGAATTTATCTCTGTTTTGATAGGAGCTTTGCACATTGGGTAAGCTCTTTATAACAATTTTGTGTGTTGCAAGTTCTTACATGTGTGCTTGTGCCATCATCAATGTACTATTATAACAACAAGCTCAGTACAGAAATTCATTATGAAAATGTGTTTCAAGAAAGCCATACCTTCTCTATTGCTTTCCATGAAGATTTATTACTATTGTGTGGCTTTGGAAAGACAGGTTTTGAGTGGACTTCCCACAAGGCCTCAGGTCTCTGAGAAAATTTCAAGAAAATTTCAAGAGGTCATCATTGATTAAGAAACTAATTTTTTAGTCTCTTCGAGCAGCCTTAGTAAATAATGTTCTAATGCAACATAGAAGGATTATAACTATTTAACTGCCAGACAGTATAGTAGAGCTCTATGATGCACTTATATGGATTTGGAGAAACTGACATAGAAATGATGCTGTAAATGACAATTCTTGAAAATACAGCGCAGAGATTTTGGATGAAGGCTATATATTGAAGTGTGTGTATAATCACTTTTTATTGGTAAAATAGGCTTCTACATTAAATTTTACAGTAAACAAAACCATAATTTTTTATTTCATCATTATTCTTATCCCAAATCATAATTTTCATAACTTGATAGAACTCGTAAAGCAACTATGACAACTCATGGTTCTCCCAATTTGAATGGCATAGATAAGCCAATCTGACAATCCCTGTCTCTTAATAGAGTCACAGTGTTCCTGATCAATAGTTTGCTTTAGAGCTTCTTGTAAGGGATTCTTTGATTCAATTTTTTTTTTCTTTCTTAGAGTAGGCTTTTCCAAGACTTGATTTGTTAAATGAGTTCAATATGTATTCACGATGTTTAAAGAATTGTGGGTAAAATTTTTCTTCGACCACAAGGCTTCGTGAAGTATTGAAACCCCACTCCGTTGAATTCTTAGTGAGAATTTTACAACAATTTTTTCTATTTAGTGCTATTTCTGCAAGCAAGTTGATAAGGGATTTCAGTTGGTGTAAAATTAGGTGCAACTATGAAGAGGCATGTGTTCATGTGTTCTTATATTCACCTAATGGTGTTCTAGATGAATATTTTATGGAATTCTGTAATTGCTTTATACAAAGAAGAGGGTTATAAATTTGTTGGAGATGCAAAGTATAAATGAATTATAGTATATCCCTCTATGAAGAATGTAGATGGGATATTAATTAATCCTAATGCATTTACAGACAAGTCCTTCACTTTAAGATGCCAGTTTTCACTCTTATTTTGTTACATGATTTAAACCCTCTTGTAGTCCATGGAGAGTAGGGGGCTATAACAGCTCACTCACTTGATGATGTGCCTCTGATGGTTTGAGTTCTAGTATTACTTCATTTTGACATATGAAACTGTTGCAGAAACTAATTTGTCTTTGTTTAAACTGAGAAGCAAAATAAACTAATATAGAGGAATGTGTCTATTAGTTAGGTTAGTGCATTGCAATTTGGAAGATGTACCTTACCAAGTTGGCATCCGGAAGTTCTCTGACAGCCTCATTAACATTTTCTGCCGTGGCTTTAACCTGGTGTTAAGTTTGCATATTAATTCATATGCAAGCAAAAATAGCAATGTACTTTTGAATGTACTCGCCTTTTGGAGATTAGTAATTCATTTATAAGTAGGGAAGATGGTTATAAGTGAAACTGGTTGATGTTTAAGTATAGCATGTCTACACTTTACCATTTTTGCACTGTTCATCTCTGTTCTCTCTGAGAGGCGATTGCGAAGGGGTTCAACATGATCACTTCCATCAAGTTGCACGCCAATGAAGTATTGAAGTTCACCCTTTTTATAACAAAATCAATCAATGATCGCGGGAAGTGCTAAATCTAACGAATATTGAACCATTGAACATATCAGAAAGGGATTGTGGAATTATACCTTTTGATCGCGCATAGGTTGTAAGTGGAATAAGTTCCAAAATTTTTTTCCTGGATTTTTCAAGATGGTAAATTAGTGTGGGATTTGCAAATTTAAGTGGTCATGGTATTATGCTTCTTTTTAAGATATCTTGCATCTTTCTTAGTTGTTTATTCAATGCACGCTAATTGGATTTGCAGGTCTTAGTTTCCTTTTAGTAATTATTAATTTATGTGGAAGTTTATCAGTATTTTAGGTGAATGTGCGAATCTATATACATCAGATTTCCAAGAAGAGTAGATGGCTTTACCACTTTTGGTGTAATTAATAAGTTGAACAGTTATTTCTCTTTGTTCTCTTATAGCATCTCTTATCTTTGAGACTACTGCTTGATCCGTTTCAGGCCCTTGAAGAAACCTGTAAAATCATAAGATGGTCAATACTGCAGCTCATCATAAGAGAGTAAGCTTTCACCTATACACATGTAGACAATCCATATGATACATTGCATGGTAAGAAAAGTTATCAAAATTTATTGTCTGTAATTGCACTGTTGTATATAAGTGGTTATAACCTACAATGCCCTTTGTCATTAGATCCTTAGATTGGTAGATGCCTTTCATCATATGATAAACCTCATTTTACAGTACTCAGTGACACCTAAAATTGGAGCCTGATAATTAGAGACACTTTATGTTATTTGAGTTAAAATGCTGCTATTTCTCTATAATAAAAAGACTCTTGTATTTCCAAAATTGTAATGTAGAATTTTATGACGTGTTTGTAAATAATTGGAGGATGATGTCATTGCCAAAGTTATAAAAGTAACAATTGTCATGGAACATTAACATAAGCTGCTAAAGCAATCCAGTTAATTATGAGAATGAGAACCAAATTGATTTTATTACCTACAGTTTCTTCCTAGAATCTCTTCCCGACTATATTCTGTCAATTCAAGAAAGCTGTCTGATGCAAATATCTGCAAGAAAAGGGACAAAAACGATGAGTTAAATAAAGTGACTAAAATTTGTTTTATAACTTTGATGCTACACATAAGCAGTGAGACTAGCATTTCTTTAGCAAATTGAATTTTGATAATTATGAAATAATTTTCATATCCAGTCATTTGGAGGCTGAAGTTATCATTTATTCTCTAAATGATGACTCACCCAAGCCCCATATGATGGTAGGTCCATGGTCGTAGCTCCCATCTTTGGGGTTGGCTAGAGGGATGTTTAGAATAGTTGAAACTTGGAACTTTAATTTATTTCTAGTCAATTTCAAGATCCTCTTTTGACTTAACATAACTAGCTTGAATATAATTTGAGATCTCTGTTGGGGAAGAGATGTGTGTTTATTGCGCTATGTGTATCTCTTTAGCAAAACAAATTTTGATTCAACTCGAATCTATTTTCAGTTAAACTCAAAATCCAATGATTTCGATTGGAGTTCACACAATACGAGTCATTTTTTATTTCAAGTCAAGCAATAGTCAAACTTTTTTTATTTTTTTTTACTTTAGGTCAAGCTAAATTTACTCAAACTTGACATGATATCAACGTCATCACTAGCTTAATTTGTTAACATGCCTGCTTAACTTTCTAATTGTTAATATGACATTTATGTGATGCTTATATGAATTTTATGATTTTTATTTCTTTTGTGCGGCCAGCAATATTGACTTCATGCTTCTAAAATTTCTTTATTAAAACGTTTCTTACAATGGGATTATCAGGAAGTCTTGGATCAGTGATAACAAAATTCTTCTCTATGCGCTCTAATGTTGTAGCAAGATCTATTGCTTGTCGTATATCTTTTTCCCTTTCCACACGGTCCCAGCTCTCTGTGCGCTGTACATCTCTGGTCATTAGAATCTCTGGTTCTATTATGATTTCTGCTGAACTTTTTCTTCTTCTAAAGCTGCAAAATATAGAGCATTTTTGTTCTTCAGAACAGATGGTCAATGCCATTGTAATATAATTAAGATTTTTCTACAGTATTAATTTATCCACCAGAAGTCTCAGTTGCAGGTATCATTTATATAAATTCTCTTTTGGTTAACAGGAAATCACCATAGCCCTGAACTGCCTTCACAAGGTGCTTGCTTTTGAAAGTAGATCAAATTTCACCACATAAATTGGAAAATAAACTTTTATTCTTAATGGTTTATTGCTGATGGTGATGGCAATGCTTACTCAATGTGAAAATACAAATCTTATCTAAAATGTTATTTAGTACTCTAATTCGCATTAGTCAATACAAACTATATTAAGTGCAATGACAATTTTCAAATAGAAGTACTGGAAGCATGAAAATTTTAAAATTTACTTAAAAAATAATAAGAATGAAATCCCTCACTCACCCCATTAAGGAAGAGCGGCCTGATTTCCTAATACTTGTTCTCTGAGATTCATTTCTCATGTCATGCAGAGAAGTCAGTCTTCCGGGTGAATTAAGATTCTTCATGTCTGCAGCTCCATGAAGTGGAGATTTGGTGTATCCTTTAGTTTTATCATCGATCTTTATGGCAATATCAAATTCTGTAGCTTCTGAGTGATTTTGTGGGTGTCTCACTGTCTGCACAACTTCCGTAATCGAAGACATGGCCGTATCCTTTTGTCTCTCTGATTGAACAAACGAGCAAGTAAATGTCCTGCATGGATTGTAGTATACCCTAAATTTTCTTTGATATTTGGTCTCACCGTCATAGCGGATTAAGGACACTGGCAATGCATTAGGCCGGAATAGTTTGTCATTTAAACCTTCTGTGTATTTGCTGACCTCAACCTGCATTCTGAAACGTATAGATGTTTGGTGAAAGATAATCTTGATTTTTCATGGTAAAAAAAATCTTAATAACTGGTGTATAAACAGCCCCATTTTACAGCTCTAGGGTGGGATTCCTAAAACCTTTTATTATTATTTGCATAAAAATTATGTAAGCTCCATAAAGTTAGAAAATTGTAATCTTGTTATTACATGTCAACATTTTTAAGTAGTACATGGTTGCACATATGTGCTTATTTTAAGTTGTAATTAACAAAGTACTCTCCCCTGGGAGATGAAAATTAAGGACTTTTACCTCTTTATATTGATCAGATTGAAATTAATAAATGTATAGAGTTTCTCTTTATGATGCACAGCACACTGCTTGCATGTGTTTCATTGATCTGGATGATGATTGAATACTACCATTTCATTGACTGGTAAAAACTCATCAAAAGATAATCTAACCAATAGTATAATTGCACTTTGCTATTATATGGGAATCCTTTTGCTTGTCAATGAATAATTGTGAATTATACTGTATCGTGATTCTTGGCTTACCTAACAGCTACATTACATTTGAAAGAAATTGGGACGATCATGCAATGGTGTAAGTTCCTTACCCTATGAATTTAATAACATTCCCATTGCCATCCCTTATTGGCGTTATGGTGAGAAGGTTCCAGAAAGGAGTTCCATTTTTCTTGTAGTTCAAGAGCCTGCCACAGTAGCTCTTCCCAGTTCTAACCGCTTCTCTTATCTTTGCAACCTCTTTTAAATCTGTTTCAGGCCCCTGAAGAAAGCGACTGCAACAAAATACAGAATTAATCTGGGATCAACCAAAGAATGTTACTACTCTTGAAAGTTAAGCTGTCTTTGAAACCATTGAGTTTGTTAATGGAAAATTAAAGCTCACCAGTTCCTTCCAATGACCTCCTTTACTGAATATCCTGTCATGCTGGAAAACCCAGCGCTTGCATACATGATAGGGCAATCTGGCGTTCTTGCATCTGAAACAACAAAAGTCTGCTTAAGAGAGGACAATGCATCTTTTAGCTCCTGAGAAACTCTAGGGAAACTTGAATCCATGGCAGAATTTGATTCATTTGATGTCCTCGTAGTCCCTGAGAGTCTCTCCATGGATTGTTTACTGCCCTCGATCGATGATGGAAAGACAAAAATTTGGCTGTTAGGATCGCTGGGTTTTACTGTCAGACCCCAAGCTGCTGCTCTTTGTACCATTGACTGGTTATTTTCAGTTTCCTTGGACTCTTCTATCTCATTTTGATCTGGATCATTTTGTGGGTTTTTCTCTGGAAATGCCATCCATCTCTCAAGTGATTTTCCTTCTGGAAGAGCTTCTGATGCACCCTCCCCCATTAGTGATGATGCACCCTCCCCCATTAGTGATGGAGGGTTCTTTTTCTGACTATTTTCTGTCATCTCTTCTCCTCGGCGCAAAATCCTGAAATGCTTGATACCCTTCTCTCTTCTAAACTGTGATCAGTGGCTGTAGTACTGCAGACTAGCAACCAAGTACATACAGACTTAAGGTTGCAAAAACAAACTATTGCTTACAGGTAAGAAATTGTGTAAAATGTAGGTTAGCATTACTGATTGTAGCACAGGATGGATAATAAGCCATATTAAGGTTTCGTTTGGGACGGCTTTTTCATAGCTTCTTAAAACAGCTTTTTAATGCAGAAATTAAAAATTTTGTAAAAAAAACTACTTTAAAAAGCAGTAAGAAAGCCGTTCCAAACGAAGCCTAAGTTGAGAAATAAAAAAAGATGGGTTTGAAAATAATTATAGGAAGAGAAGTAAAAAATGGGACTTCTTCTCATGAATGGTTTCCTTTCTTATTTACTTGGAAGGAGATTTTAGATGCTGTTGCCATGGAAGTATACACTTCATGACACCTTAGCCTTGAAACTTTCATGGTACCTTATCCAGTCATATGAGAAATTGCCAGTTCTAACCAATAAAAACAGTTAGACCACAAAGTTGATTCAACTGCAGATAAGTCCCTCGAAATTTTTTATTTTCGATCACTATCAACCAAATAAACTACGTTAATGATAAAAGAATACACTGTAAATGACAATGAGATGAATACCTCCTTGAAAATCTTCAAATTCAACAGTTAATGTGTATCTGATGCATTCTTTGCTTGTGCTTGCTACAGAAGAACTACAGAAAAAAAAAGGTGAGCGGAAGCAGAGAAGCCAAGAGAAAGAGATAACGCCTGGAGGGAACTCTAGCTGAAGGCTTCAACGGTCCCTGAAAGCCAGCCTTCACCGTTGATAACCGGCACGTCAGCTTTTTTTTTTTCTAAGCTATCCCTTTCATTTCAGAGTGGCGAGTGGCCAACATGATCTATAAGACGATTCTGAGGCTGCAATTATTCGTCGTTTTTGTCCTGCAATCCTTTTATTCTTTTACACATATAGTGTTAACGGTCTTTCGATGATTGAGCGTCAAATTTCTTATTTTGTAGAAAACAATGGAAGCTGTTTGCTTTTGTTATGAAATAATATTATTATTCCTTAAAGGCAATAATTATCTATTCCACTTAGGGGTTGTTTGGTTGCAAGATTTTTTTGAATTCATGGTTTTTCAGAATATATAATAAAATATATACATTGTGTTTTGAATATTCAAAATTACTTGATTGTTTGTAAAATAAATATAGTTCTTTTTTTTTTTTCCGGATTGGGTGTGAAGTGTAAACTGCAGTATGTTGCATTGATTCCATTTAGTGTTATGCTTATACCCTCTATTTCAAGAAATTATTACGTGAGAAGTTCGGACATAGAGTCTAGACTTTATGTATTTATTGAGTATTTATTGTATTATATTTAATATATACGTAGTAAATATTCAGCAAATATGAAGTAAATATTTAATGATATAAAAAAATTATATTTTGATCATGTGTGAACATTTCATTGGAGTCCGGAAGCAATTTTAAGTCCAGACTTTGCATGGAATTAGTTCTCCTATTTTGATGTTGAAAAATCTAACAGTTCAGCTACTTAGAATAATTTTGTTTTCTTGATCCTCAAAAAAAAAAAAAAAAAATTTTAACAAGAGAATCTATCCATGAGTTAGATAAGCAACAATTTATATATCATGAATATAAAATGGTTATAATCGTTATATTAGTCTAAACTAAATGTGAAGGTAAGTTCATAATGTTAATCAAATATAATTTAAAATGATTTGTTTATTATTAAATTATATAAATATGTTGATTAGAGAAGGCTGCTATAGAGTATAAATCTCTTTTATGCACAATAGTAAATGCTAGAGTAATGGAGAGCAAACATATTAATAAAGAGACGATGGTATGGTGCTGATAGTCAGGTGACATTAATTTTAACATGATAATTAGATGATGATGATTTGATGATAATAGTTGAATGATTGTGATCGGAACATAATGGTCTAGTGCAATGTGGGGAAATGATGGTAGATGATAGATGATTAACATTGATTAGGCAACAATAGTCAAATAATGACGAGCGTTGGTGTCAATTGTTGATGTTGAGTGTCAGATATAGCTCTAGGGTTCTTCAAATATCTACGTTCTCTTCAATTTTAAATCTCATTCTCCTTTGTACGTAGAATGAATGTTTATTAATATTTTTTTAAGGTGACATTTTTCCCCATAGTGTGATAAAAGGCTAGATGTTGTTTTTTGTTGTAGTAGAGTGGCCTTCTTGTTATTTTGGTGAAAGTTCAAAAATACTCTAGATGAGAAATGTCGATTGACTGCTTTTTTAGCTTTTAAGTGCTTTAATAACTTTGCAATTAGGTAGTTTTAGCTTTTTAACTTGCAAATTCAAGATGTTTGTTTTGCTTATAAGCATGCAAAAGAAGGGTGATCATTTTCCCTTTCAATTAATATCACAAAGCTTTCAAGCAAGCTTTAATTGCTTGATTTGGACTTAATTGGGCTAAGTTCTGCTGGAATGCATGGAACTCCAGAAATTGATGTATGTGTAATTCCTTTAATTTGTCCTCAAAATTCTTGTCAAAAATTTGAACCAAAGAGTCGCAGCTAATTCTAAATGTTGATGTTCTACTACGAAAAGTGATCTTTGGAATCTACATATGCAAATATGTGTAAAGGGGCTAATAATATTTCCAACATGATTTTCCTATTACACAACTATGTCCAAGTTCCAAAAAAATTTAAAATGAATTAAAATAAATCAGAAACTATTGCAATAGTTGTATATAGTACACAACAATACACATTGTGTATCAGGAAAAAAATAACATTTTTAGAAAAAATTCCTTAATACACATTGTGTACAAGCTCCAAAAGATTTAAAATGAATAAAAAGAACACAAACTATTGTAATCGTAGTATTTAGTCTTGTACACAGTAATACACAATATATAACCGGTGCAAGAAACCACTGCTAAAGGGCTAATTTTTTGGTAGTGTGTATTAGGAAAAAAATATTTTTTAGAATGTTTTTTTTAATATATAATTGTGTACAAGCTCCAAAAAATTTAAAATGAACAAATACAATACAAAAACTTTTAAAATTATTGTATCTAAGCTTGTACACAACAATACAGAGTTTGTATAAGAAAAAAATAATATTTGTAAAAAAAAACTCCTAGTACATAGCTGTTTACATGCTCCAAAGGATTTAAAATAAACAAAAAAAATAAAGAAACTATTGAAATCATTATATCAAAGATAGTATACAACAATACACAATGTGTATTGGAAAAAATAACATATTCAAAAAAAATTTCTAATACACACCTGTATATAAGTTCCAAAGATTTTTTTTTTCTAATAAATCAATGCGAAAGCGCTCTACTTAAGCTCCAAAAGATTTAAAATGAATAAAATAACATGGAAAATATTGACATCTTATTATTAAAGCTTTTATATAGTAATATACAGTATGTATTAGAAAAATCCGTCATAAATGCGCCGGAAACCCGGGACTACCGTCGGATTTAATGTGTTACCGGCGGATATAATCCGCCGGTAATAGTGGGTTTTCCTGTAGTGTAATATGCATACCACAACATTTGTACAATTGAGAGAATTTCTGAACTTTCAAAAATTTACAATTTTACATAAAATTTTACACAATTTATGTACAAAAGTACGCCTCTTTATGGCATTCGTCAGCTTTCAATAGATACAAAAAAAGCGACAACCGAATGTCCTCAACACTAAACTCAAACAACTATTTTGAGATAAATTATAAACATAATATGTAGTTTCACCATTTCAACATATTCAATGATAAAGTATCACTTTGGAGATAAATTTGACCTTAAGAATCAGCCTACTAGAAGAAGAGAGCGATTCTTGTTCGAAGATAAAGAGGGTATGAACTGAAAGGAGAGCAATCCTTATCCTACGATGAAAAGTGACCTAACTACGAATGCCGGAACTTTTGGCTTGCTGCAATTTTAAAATGTTCATCTAATCTGGATCATTGGACCGGGTCGGATCATCAGGCCCCACGTGTCACCATTTAATTGTCCGCACATAATAATTTCTCGTTATGCACGCCTCTTTCTTAAGCAAAAGTTGTACAATTACTCTCAGAAGTTGAAAATGCAATTACCATTTGTTTTCTTCTGCAAAAATCAAATCTCATGCAGGATACTCTATTATCGTTATTTACTTCTTTAGAGACAGCAAAGATAATGACGGCTTCTCCTGAAGCTAAAGGATCGCCACAACTTGAGCTGGTGGTGGATCAGAGGAGGCCTCGCATCCCATTCATTCTTAATAACCCCTCAAGTAAAGGATAAGAGTCTTTATTGTTTTCTGGTGAATAATAGAATAGAGTAGTCTCTCTCTCCCACATGACTCAAGTTACGGACGCAGGCATAGCCATTCAAGTCTTAATCAGCTACAGGTGAGGTGGCTTCCCATTCTCTTAGTATTTATTATCTTATGGACCAGCAATATAATCAACCAAGTCATTTCAATGATTAAATCCAAGGAAACAAATGTGAATGACTATATTTTGAACTAATTCACCTAGAAATTTTTTGTCATCGCATATAAGTTTTATTTGGATTATCAAGATTTGTGACTATTAAATTTAACGTTCATTCATAATTGATTTTCTAACGTTGATGGGTATCAAACTCTTGGATTCATTCACACTTAATATTTCATTTTAGGAAAACTTTGTATTATCGGCGAAAATACATACGCCGGTAAAAGTGGCGAACCAACCGGCGTTTTTTTTCGCCGGTACTGTAACGTCGTCCTTTTTTTTATTCATAGTTATTCATAAGACCGGCAGTTTATTTCGACATTGTTGATGGCTGTTTTTTTTTTTTTTTAATTTTTATTACTGCTACAAGTTTCCGGCGGATAATCCATCAAAAAAATATGAATATGACGAAATTGTAACGTATTTATGTTGAATATTATCCAACGCTATTTCTGACGGATAATCTGCCGTATGTTTCCATTGGTAATTGTCCGGTGAAACCATGCAACGGATTATCCGCCGGTGTTTATAGCGGTAATTCCAGCAGATAAAACGCCATAATTCCTTCCAAGAAAACAGGGTTTTGGTTATGGTTTTCTGCCGCCATTCCGCCAGTAAGTTCGCCGGAAGTAATTCAGGCGTATTTCTTTTGACGGAATTAAATTTCCGACGCGCGAATTATCGTCAGACAACTTTTTATCGAAAATTCGCCAGGAAATGCATTTTACTGGCGGAATTTGATGTTTACCGGCGGATTCCGTCCGTCGGTAACGACCGATTTTCCTGTAGTGTTTGACACGTACCACCTTATATTGTTATATAAAAAAAGAATGAAATCGATGATTATAAAAAATTAAGGTAGGAGGGAGAGGGGAGGTGTCAATTGAGAGGGAAGGGAGGAGTTTTTTATATGGTTATTAGTGGGTAAAATAAAAAATCGACTCGAGGAAAATGTGATGTTATTTGTTTTGGTTCTATCAAAAAGAGGAGCTTTTGTTTGAATTCCTACAACTAGGAAGGGGAATAGCAAAAAGGAGCATTATCTTTTATTCTTTTTCTCCACATTTAGCTTTCATCTTTGTAGTAGATTGTTACATTTTCTTTCAGTGGGTGGCACAGATAAAGTAACATATTTATCTCTTCATTTACATTTATTGAAATTAGTTTATTATTCGATCTTTGTTTTGTTGTAAATATAGATATACCTTATTGGATCATGAAATATTTGTGTTATATATTCATTTAGTTTTCCTCATAATTTTATTACTAACAAATATTCCCATAATTGATATATCCACAATTTATTGATAGCAAAACATATTCTTGATTTTTTTGGAAAATGAAAGTTTTAGTTAAAATGTGTTCCTTTTAGGTTTTTTCAAGGCGTTGTGTCTTGCAAAAAAAAAAAAAAGTTGTTTGGCAATCTAATAAATTATGGATCTCTTAGTATGTGCGAAGACCGGATGGGAAGAACTGTCCAGTTTGTTGCGTAGCGTATTTACTGAATATTTGCTGAGTATTTATAAATACTCAGCAAATACTCAATAAATATGCAATAAATACTCAATAAATATTCACAAAATACGCAACAAATACTCACAAAATACTTAATAATGCTCACAATGGAGTATTTACTGCGTATTTACAAATATACAATAAATACTTAATCAATTCGCGGCAAATCCGGATCTTTCTCCCCGTCTAGACTCCGCACATAATAAATTTTCCTCCTATCATTAAGATATATTATGTACAAATGTCTACACAGTTTGTACACTCATATATCATGACGATTCTTCCAGTCTAAATGCCGCACAGAATAATTTATCGTCATTGATAATTTTAGATCATGATGTGCTAAAATTTAGAGTATAGCTACAATAAAAAAGATAAATAGAGATTCATTTTTCTTAGGTGGATTAGTAGAAAGGAGAGAATATAGTATCATTCAGTAGAAAAATATATAAGTTGATCGCCTAAATAAAATAGAATTTAAATTAATTTTTTGTGTAAATTTCTTCGAGGTGTAAAACTTTGCATGTATTATTATCTTAACTTTGGCCAACTAGTGGCATGGGCCAACTTGAGTTAGGCTTGATAAAAAGCGCAAGCTAAGTTCGATGAGATAACGTGCTCGATTTGAATCTACCTTGAATCTTTCTTAACTAATCAGACTCTTTAAAAAATATTAATATAGAATAACATCTAAATATTAGACTCAAGCATTTTTATTTTTTGAAGTTAAATGCTCAATGATTATATTACAATTCTTATTAAGTAAATATATTGAATCATTAATAAACTCAAATGTTAATTATAAAGTTACTAATGACCTAAAAATTATAGCTTAGTCATTTCTCACTCTCCATGCTTTCACCTAGAAGTTTTCATTCTTTCCATGATTATGTTAGAATAACTCATTGATTTCACATTTATCTTTTCTCTTCTATAATAAAACAAGTTGGCTCAAATTCATGATATTGCGGTTGAGCTCTAATTGAATAATTAGTAAAAGCGCAAGCTCAAGTTAACACCGGTTCTAAATCAAGCCAATCTAATTACAGTCGTAGCTTTAAATATGATAGTTCTATCGAAGATAAAAGCCTCATGCCCTAGTGTTGAAAAGTGTTAAGAGGTGATTTAGAGCATGTGGATCTCTTTTAACATTCATACTCATTATCATTATGATTAGTACCATCTAATCATATTGTAATAATAAGTTTGTCATATGAGATCCAAAATTTTAATGTACATTTTACTTTTTTTTTGTGGTATATTATATTTGTTTTCTTTTTTGCTCATACTATTGTGGGAATCTCACAGCTCATTAGCTTCTAAGCTCACTGAAACAAATAATGCTACATGTGCATACAGTGCATTAATTGAACAGTTGAGATTTTATTTGTAGGAAATCTTCTCATGAACAGAACAAAGGTAAGTAAAGAAAGCTCATAGAATAATACACCTAGACCAAATCACAACTTAGTTTTTAGATGTCAGAACCTTTGTCCTTGAGTGATTGTATATAATCATCAAACATCTCTTCTATTCCTTTAAACTTGAATCCCATATTGTGTAGCTTGGATGTATTGAAGGTGTATTGAGTTATCTTACCATCATAGTAGTCATCAAACCTGCACATTGAGCAAATAGTAATTATTTAGTTCTTTTATAATTATAAACTAGGTGTCAAGTTTTAGCTTTTCTTACTAGAAAGATGCTTAAAAATCATAGTGATTGTACTAATTGCACAAATTTATTGATGTATAAAATCCTGATAATTTTACTTGATTTAATGGATTACTAAGGCTGTATCTCTAGCAGCCCAAAAACTCTTAACAATTGAGCATGCTTAACTGTAGAATTTTTTAAATAAAGTTCCAATCATTATACTAAAAGACACCTCAATGTTTAAGAGTTTAGTTTCAATCATAATATTGCAATAAATAATGATAAGTTTACCAAATTTTGATACTTTTATTAGAGTTGATAAATTCTTACGTATTTTCTATATTTGTACGAGTTGTAGCATAATGTTGCAATATGTTCTGATAATTTTATTATTTTATGATAAATTCTTAGGATTTCATCAATCAAATGGTAGTGATCACAGAACTTAATATTTTCATGAAGATTTTATCATCATTTCTTTAATTTTGATGAATTTATAGAGCTTCATCAAATCAAGTAATTTAATTGAGCTTCTTATCAAATTGTTGATAAATTATTAGGGATTTCTGTTAGATTTTAAACTCTTTGTTCAATACTTTAAAATGTTGGCAATAGCTTACAAAATCAAATAAAAATGTTGTCCTTCACAAAAGAGCCAACTATAAGAAATTGCATGCAAAGTTTCTAAAACTTTATTACTATATAGTGGAATCCTCTGGCTCTTTTAAGTTGGTAAAAACTTAGCAACATACCTTGTAGGGATTGGAAGCCATGGATAACGTTTGGCAACAAGAGCTCCAAGTTCATTATTATCAAGCACAACTGAGCTGCAAATATACCTTCCTTTTGCAGCTAAATCTTCATAAACTATGATATGGCAGCGAGCTACATCATCAATATGAACATATCCCATTCTACCATACAATGAAAACTCCTTAGTTTCCCCTGCAATAGTCAGTAATTCTCTTAAGCTTCAGAGTTTCTTTTGATTATTAGTAGAAGGAGAGTCAATCAATAATACCTCTAAGGAAGCCTAAGACATTTGATGCAGTTAGGGACAAATCATTAGGCAAATTGGGGCCTATAATGAATGAGGGAAGAACAGTTACAAGGTCTATATCATTTTCCTTAGCGAATTCCCATGCTATTCTCTCGGCCAAAATCTTTGCAAGTGCGTACCATAACTTGGGAGATAAGAAAAAGAACAGTTAGTTATATCGAATAAATTCGGGATTACTAAGGCTTCGTTTGGGACGACTTTCTCACTGTTTCTTAAAGCAGTTTTCTAGTATTAAAATTTTAATTTTTGAACTTAAAAGTTGCAATAAGTAGTAAGAAAACTGTCCCAAACGAAGCCTAAATTTGTGTAGCTTGCAATCGACAATTGTTGATTGGCCAAACTGCTTAATGCAATTTTGATTGACTAATAATATTGATGGATCTTAGTTATTACGAGCTAAGCATGCAAGTTTGAGAAGTATTGCTCATATAGATTAGGAGAAAAAAAAAAGAAAATTTTGAACAATCAGTATGTAAGATTTCGAAGTATTGCTTAAATAGAATAGGGAAAATAAGAAATAAAATTAACAATAGTGTTTAAGAGTAATATCTCGTGTTTTAAGGTCTAGTTTGTTATGACATGAGTGCTTGGAAGTGATTTCAAACCAAGTTATTTATTTGATTGGAAGTGGATAAAAATAGAGTTCCTAATTCGAAAAAAAAAACAACCTCATAAATGAGAGAAGTGAGTTTAATTAATAAAGGCTTGGAAATCACTGTAAACTAGCCAAGTGCCTATGAGGGCTTGGAGTTAAAGTACTTGGGAGTTTTTTATTTTAGTTTGATCAACTCCAGCCGAGCGTCTTACAGTCATTTGCAGTTTGTTGTTTTCCTATGAGGGCTTGGAGTTAACGTACTTAGGTGTTTTTTATTTTACTTAGATCAACTCAAACCGAACGTCTTACAGTCATTTGCAGTTTGTTGTTTGCCCCATCCGATCGCCAAAACACCCACCATTCATGTGAGGGTGAACAGTGTGACGTCAATATTGGCGTCGCACTGTTCACACTCTTTTAACTCAACAAAATAAAAAACAAAATCACATTGCATTGCAAAATGTATTGATTGGTAATTTATGAGATTAATATATTAATTCTAATGTTTAGTTGACTGTGTTTTTTTTTCATTCCTATTTATGTGTTATAATGTAATTTTCATTTTATTTAATAAATATTTGTTTATTTATGACATATTAATGTTCCAAATTATTTTATCGGGCAAAAAATATATATTTTTAAAAAATTTATAATATGTCTAATTCAAAAAATTGATAAATATAAATATATGATTAAAAATAAATATAAAATAAAGTATGAGAAAAAATAAACAACTAAGACAAACCTTCAATGCTGCAATCAATTTTCTCAAGCTTGCACATACTCCCTATAATAATAAACCATAATACATAAAAAATGAAACTTATTGTAATTCAAATAAATCCTATTATTGACTTTGTTAGAAGTTGATAAAAAATAAACAAACACTGATCATTATGAAAACTATATTCCAATCATTTCCAAACACTTAACAACTAATCATAATTGAATGATGCATTTGCAAGCGCTCCATTACTTTTATCAGTATACTGAACAACAAAGTCAGATTATGAATCTAATGATAATTAAATTTTGTTCTACCTTTAACCTTTCACAGAGTTCCACAGAACTCCATGAAGATTCATCCAATGGATAGTTTGGATCAATTTTTTCTTTCACCCTTACTGCTGATGATGATGATGTTAGTACAACCCTTCTGAGTGATGGATTCCTTTTGCATGATCTTAACACATTCAAAGTACCATTGACTGCAGAATCCATTATTTCAGACTGCATAATGATAGTGAAAAGGCTAAATCAGATCTCAATAATTCTCTAAACCTCACCATCTATTAAAAAAAGTAGTTGCTTAATAAATTCTATCATCAAGTTGCAAAATTAAATCATTTGGCTAACCAATTAGTAGCGACAAATAAGGCAATAGAACATGATGGTTGCGATGGATAAGGATATCTTAATTATTGAGAAGAAAAAAAAAAAAGAGGAGATGAAGAGAAAAGCACACTGGATGAGAGAGAGATGAAAGTGTTAGAGGAAGAAGAAGAGGAAGAAAAGACTGAAAAATCATTTCTTTGTTCCAGAAGTAAAAACCTACTGTAAATTCAAAATAATGACAAATCTATTCAAAAATCACTTGCTTAGCCCCACTGAAGAGGCGAGGCCGTAGTAGAGGGGATTCAAATTCAGGATGGTGGGTTCCCAACCATGCTCGCCTACCAACCACCCTAAGACTCGCGGGTAATATATTCAAAATGATGGATAACCATTTAATCATTGATTGGAATGCAGACAGACAACATAAAATGATTGACTAAATAGTATTATACTAATAGAAATAAGATTAGATATAGGCTTTATTTGAGATGACTTTCTTACTGCTTTATAAAGCAGCTTTTTTGTACAAAAATTAAAAAAATTTATACTAAAAAGTTTCTTCAAGAGCAGAAAGAAAGTTGTCCATACAAAACAAAAAATAAGCTTCTCGTTTAGATTAATTATTAGTATAACAAACAAGTAGTATAAAACTTGTGAAAATACAGGAGTCAATTCAGCCATGCCTGAGAGCCATGTTGGGGTCCAAACACAGGAGAAGCGGTGTGAAACACACCCTGACATCCTAAAACAGCTTCATCAAAGCTTCCTTCCTCTAGCAGATTTGCCTTTACTAACTGGAGCCTTTCCTTTGCTCCTTCCAATTCCCAAAGATGGGATAATTTCCTGTAGTTTTCTGTACATGATATCCTGGGTGAGATTCTTCTATGAAAGGAAATGGTAGTTTAAGAAGAATATAGAACCTGGATCTCTAACTGTTCCTATGACATGATATCCTGACTTAGGGAGCTGCTTAATGAGCCAAGAAGCAAGGAAACCAGAGGCCCCAGTAACACAGACTTTTCCTTTAATGTGTGAGCTCTCATCCATATTGACAAACAAAGAGTAAAACACTAAGCTGGTCATGTAATTTTGCTAAGCTTTATAAATACATGGGTTAGGACTAAAGGTGCAGGTAACAGGGTGAAGACTGTTGAGTCATCCCATATTCATGGTTACAAGTTTTATTAAAAATAGAAAAGTAGGTTTGAAGCAGGTGAGTGGAAAGTTCTTAGTGGTTGAGTACTCAATACATTGATGAATAACCTCTATGTTGTATACACTGAAACATAAAGGATAAACCGAGCGACGAAGTACTTGTGGCTTGGCTCGATAAGAGCTCGTTCATGTTCGTTTGATAAGGCAAACGAACAAGCTTGAACACTTTTGATAATACTCGATAGCTAAATAAATACGATTGAACAACTTGGTGTTCAGTTTGTTTATGTTTATTAATAGTTTCGTTTAATGCTCGTGAACAAGCTCGTTAAAAAGCTATTAGAGCTTAACTAAGAAGCTTGATTGGAACTATATTAGAGTTTTAAAAAATAAATACTGTTAAATTTAAAAATATAATAATTTATTTTCACATATCCTGTTTCAAATTGTTTAATAATTTATTTTTACTTTCCACATCTGTCTAAAATCACAAACAACCTGCTTTTTGAATAAATATAAGATAAATCATAGCTTATTTGGTAGCTCAAAAATACTAATTAGATATATTCATGAATGAGCTCATTTGATAGCTCAAGATTACTCATTAGTTATGTTTGTGAACAAGCTTGTTTCATAGTTTTAAAAATTTTGCTAGATATGTTCACAAATAGGTTTGATGTAATTGTTTGTTAGAAGACTCGTTCGGTACATCTAGAAGTAGAGCTCATTTATAACTCGATAAGTCTCGTTTATTTAAAACCCGATAAACATGGAATGAATCGAATATGAACCAAACACGAACGCTCATTAATTTAAATAAATCAAGTTTGAACACAAACAAAAAAGCTCGAATCAAACTCAAACTGATAATAAATGAACTCGGACATGAACACGCATATACTCGACTCGATTCTGTTCGTTTGCTGCCCTAGAAAATCCGTTCTGCATAAGCATAATTTCTTTCTTCTGTATCAGATCCTTACTTTTGTTCTTCATGATGCTATGGATGTAAGCTGACAATAGGCAAATTTCCCTTAATTTTGCTATGTTTCTGTAGGAAAATTCTCATTAATTTTGCTATTTAATATTTAAATTTCACTGCCTTCGGAGATCCATCCCAGAATGCCTACAAAGCAGTAACGTGACATCACAGTAAACTGCTGAGACTTCGATTGTTACTGAAATATTTTCTTAATCAATATTAATTCAAAACAGCCAAACTACGTGTCTATAAATATAATGATTACATGTTACTAACAAACAAACTCGTTGATAGAAATAAAATAGTGAATAACATTATTATATATTAAAATTTTGAATAAATACAATATTATTTTTAATTTTGTTTTATTGCACATTAAAATGTGACATCAAATTAGAGATGTAAATGAATTAAGTCAAGTTCGAATCATTTCTAACTTGAGCTTAAACTTGAACTATATTAATTAATCGAGTTCATGCTTAAGCCCTAGTTTAATTCAATGAGTTCGAGCTGGCTCATAAGCCAATTCGTTTTGCTATAATTCAAATAATTATTATCATTAAATTATAGAAAGAAAGGTAAATTTAGAAGATAAATAATAAAGAATCACTTGATATAAGAAACTGAGACATGATTTTTAAATATGTATAATACTTTTATGCATATTGAATTCTAATATATTTTAGTGTATTTGATAATAAAAATTTTAAACAAACCGGCTCACAATTTAATGATTTGGGTCAAGATTAGCTTAAGTTTAACTCGTTAGCTCATCAAGTTAAGCTCACAAATCATTTATTGAGCTAAGCTCCAACAGACTCACGAATCGACTTGACTCGCTTAGATATTTTTCAACAATTGGAACTGTGGTAAAAGCTTTTCTTTTCGTCGTTAATCCGAGTTTAACGCGTTAATTTGTACTATTCTTATTTATATATGAAAATTTTTCTTAAAAAAATAATTATCATTTCCTCAATTACAAAGGCGGAATATGTAATTTTTAAATTATCGATTCCGTTGTTCACCGAACGAGTCATACACGTTGTCCGGGTCCAATATTCGGTCAACCATCCTTGGCGTAGATCCTACTAAGAATTTTTTTTTATATTCACTATTATTTATTTATTTATTTTATTTTTTTATATTCACTATGTGTGGGTTGAAGGCTGTGTCATTTGAGCTAATGGAGATATTATAATAGTTTTGTTATAGTTTTATATAATTATAAAAAATATATATTAATATTATAAAATAAAATTTATGAAATTAAATTTAGGATCATTCCAATTCTATTTTATAAAATTATAGTCAAAATAATATGTTAATGAGATGAACTTAATAATACCAAAAAGTCTTGATTCGAGTTCAAATGATCTTAAATCAAGTACTTGAAGTATAATAAAAGATTTTATAACATCATTCAATGTTATTTTGAGCTTATTGTAAGAGGAATATATCCAAAGAGCTCAAAATCACTCAATTCTACCTAAATGATGATTTTTTATCAAGGAGATCAACACATTATTTGCATGAGGATTTAGGAAATTTTGTTAAAAAATAAATAGTATTCGATAAAATTTAAATAAATCGTTATTCTACACATGAAAAGAGTCTAGATTGATGAGGGATTATAAATTTACAAAATACTAATGTTCGATCCTCCTGACGATCAACTTGATGTTGTAAACACCAACATCTAAACTTACCATCTACAACAATGTTTATGCATGCTATTGAAATCAATGCCAACGGCTATCATTGCCAACATGGTTGATGCACATCTTCAACACTAAAATTGGCACCCACAAAACCAACAAGGTTGTTGCCTACCCTCTCTAACAACATCAATGTCTATCATCGTCAATAAGGTCAATACATGTCTTTGACACGCGTTATCACTAATAAGGTTGATATATACTTTCAACACCAACATCAACACGCATCAGTCAATAGGTTAATGCACATTATGATTAATAACAACATCGATTTCCTACATCACAAACTATTTTAATGCTCCCCATTTTAAATAATGTTGATGTTCACTACTGCTAATAAAATCGATGCACATCAATGACATCAACGTTGATGAAACCATCAATAATAAGGTTGGCGAACACAAATAATACTAACATTGATACATGTCACTGCCCAATGAGATTAATAAATATTATCGACAAGATTGATTCCCACCACTCTTATAAGGTCGATGCATGCCATCAACATCAACTTCAATTTGATGTTCATATCAATTTTATCCAAGAACTTTGATGTTTATAATTATTAACAATATTGATATATGTCATTGCCAACAAGGGCGATGCACATTATAAATACTAAATGTCAATGCCAGTGATCACCTATCATCAACATCAATCATGACGCCTATTGTAGGAATGCCACTTTTTGTAATTTATGACTCACACATATAGAATAATTTCAACAAAACTAAAAAATGTAGTGGTTTTTCTCCTTCCAAGATTTTTCACTTAGAAAACCTCTTATCCTATATGTCACTTTCAGCTTCTCTTATTTGTATTTCTAAGATCTTTATACAATATTGAAACAATAAACTCTCACTACTGCACTAAATATTATAGCAACCAACAATGTTAATATATCAAATAATACAACATATAAATACTATGAATTGCAATGATTGAAATAATAGAAATTATAAATTTTAATCAATGATATATTTTGTTAAATAAATTTGTATGATGTAAAATAAATATAATTCATTAAATTAATTACTTTCAAATATCATTAAATTTAAGTTATCATTTTTTTCTTAAATAAAATTTTAAATGATGAAACTATAGCATGTTCAACCAATTAATTTATGTCAAGTTGTTTGATAAAAAATTCAATAATTGTAGATAATATTAGTTTAATCATTTTTAAAAAGATTATACTAAGTAGAAGATTACATTATGAGTTTATTTCAATTTTATTTTTTTCATAAAATATCTTAGACAATTGTTTGTTCCTTCAGCATAGCATGGTCAAATAATTTACTATATAAGACAAGACAGTTGGCCATTTCTGACTATTATGACTTTTTCTTCAACCAAATTAGATCAAAAGTAAGCCCAAAGTCAGGTAAGATTTTAAAACATTAGCTTTGATATTTCTCAATAAATTTTACTTGATCTAAAAAATTATTGATACATTATTATATTAAAAAAATTTAAATTAATTTCAGAATCATCCAAACTCAATTACACGAAAACGGAGTGTCTTGATAAGAGGAATCTAATAAAATTATAAGTGATATGATCAAAGTCAAAATGAGACCAAATCAAGCACTTGAAATAAAGTTGGAAACTTTAAAGCATTGAGTGAAGGATCATGTATGCTTATAGTCAATTCAAGCATCTCCAAATTTTACATGCTTGTAGTTAATTCCGGCAACTCGACCTGACAAATCCAACAAGCACATGATCACTAGATTTTGAGATCATTAGTATGATAAGTGCTAAATGAATGGTTCATGATCAAAGAATTTCATATGAGTCTTTTTACAGAGTATTGTGAAATTGCGGTTGAATTTATCAAAATATTAGCTAAAAAAATACTATAAATAGTCAATTCTTTACATGAAGGGGCTCTTGACTTGAGTTTGGAGGGAACTTAGAGATTTGAAGAACTCTAAAGCTCTACTTGATGTTCAATGCTAACAATCACCACAAATCATCTTCGTCGCCTAAATCTCATGTTATCTAACAACCACTGCAAGATTATTGTCATCCAATCACGATCATCCTATTATTAGTATCTGATTACTGTCACTTGACCATCATTATCCATTCATCATCATTCGACCATCATTATTTGATTGCTACCATCAAATTCTCATCATCCAACTATCATCACCCATCCATTATCATCCGACTAACACCATCCAGGAATTGCATCTACTGCATTCTCTCTCTCCTTCACAAGACTACAAACTTATATCACATACTTTGTAATTTCGGCTTCTCCAATTAGGGTCAAGGGAACAATGAATAACTTATTCACATAATTGATTATTTAATTTAGTTCTAATTTTTCTTTTCTTTTTTTTTTTTGAGTTTTTCATATAAAAATTTGATGTGTACAAGTTTTTTTTTTATCTATATATATATATATATATATATATATATTGGAACTGCATGGAACACTAGGACATAACAGTTCTATCTATCACTATGAATTTTCTAGCAAGCAATAAAGATAGTGTGAAATCCTCTCAAAATAAAATCTATATTAAAAATAATTTGATATTTATTTTATTTTAATATGCTCAATTATATACTTTTAAAAAATATAATTTATTTCTTCTAAATAAGCCACCTAAAGCAAACCAGATTATTTTAATTATTAATCTCAAGATATCATTATCTTCATCCATGGATGTAATAATTATATTAATCAGACAGCCAAATGGTCTTTTCGCCCGCTGTCAAAGTGCCGGAAAAGCTAATTAATCTCCAATTACTAAATCTTTCTTTTTTTTTTCCGTATAGTGCAGGTAAATGAATTTTATTTAGTTATTTTTCTCATCACTGGCCTGCTTTTTCCTTACGCATACGCATATAAATCAGCATGCAGGATTCACTTCATGAGAAGAGTACTTACTCTTCCCTCAAAATCCTCCGTTTCTATCTCCGGCGAACAACGGCCGGAGGCCACCGTCGACGGCGGCAGGTATATTTCTTTTCTGCTTCTCTTTTTTCCTTCTCCTTAATCAATTGGGAAAAATATTAATAGCACATAGAAAGTCTATTGAAATAATATTAATAATTTCCTTTTTATTCGTTTCGTCAGTGAAATAAAAACTCATCATTGAGAAAATTTTAAATTAATATTAGTTATTAATTTCATCCAACTCAATCATTGCTAAAGCTATTAAAAGAATGATTTTTTAAAATTAAAATAACATTTTATTCTCTTAAAAATAAAAAAAAGATAATCTATGCATTAAAAAAACATTGAAATATATGATTTATTATATTAAAATTTTGAGTAAAACATTACTTGTTTTAATACATTATCTCAAAAAATAAAAAAACAAGCATTTCAACTATTATTTTGAGACGTTAGGGGATTCGAGCGAGGGTGAGAGGGGAGGAAGAACTTCCGCCGACCATCTGACCACTTACTCGATCTCAACTATCAGATTCGACCATCTGGCAGCTTACCCGATCTTAACTATAGATATTTACTAACAAAATATAAATTTAAGTGAAATAAATAATAGTGATTATTGAAATTTTGTTTGTAGCGTTACCTCATGAATTGTCATGTACATGAAATGTTCGTTGAAGTTCAATTAATTTCCACATGGAAGCAGAGGCAAATCAAAAGCCTTGTTGTCTGAATAATTCCGTTCATGATACGGCACGTGGAGTCTGGTCACCACCTGCCTTCTTATTTTGCAGAAACTTCCTTTCCCCTTCATTTTTTTTTTGTTTGACTCTCTTCTCGGCCTCTGTGTCGCCTAATCAGGAAGAGATGGAGGATGGAGTGAAAATGAAGAGCTTCAGGGATGAGGATATGGAGACCAGAAGAATATTCCTGAGGAGCTACCCTCTGCGATGGGATGAGGAAGAGGAAGAAGAAGATCAAGAAGAAGAAGGTGAGAGCCCTCGAAAACAGGTGGCCTCAAGTAAAAAGCAACGATACTTCAAATTCAAATCGCTTATGAAGAGAAACTTCATAACTGTGCTCCACTGGGGAGAAGGGAAGCTCCTGCTACTGAAGAAGATGAAGAACAAAGTTGCCTTTTACCTTGTGGCCTGCCATCCCTTTGGCTTCAAAACATCTACCAAGTTTATCACTGCAGCTTGATTTTTTAGTTAAAATCTCTTTCAGTAGCTGCTTTAAATCTTGTTTCTGGTTCAGAAGATACAGCTATTTCTTGTTTTATTTTCTTAATGCTTTTCTCAGGTATATATAAATCCTATGTAAACTAGTACTGTGACCTTTTCTGATGGGCTTTTCACTAGGAACATCTCAGTCCCTGTTTCTTCCCAGTTGCATGTGTTTTCTTCCCTCTGTCCAAAAAAAAAAAAAAATCTCGATTTCGTAAGGAAAAAGAAATCCCTTTATCTAAATTTGGTATTCAACGGCTATAACTTATTCTCTGTTCTGATGAAACAGTTTTCCAAGTAATCAAAGTTTCATCATGAACGTCATATTTCAATATGCTCGGGCATATCTTCTTAGATGTAGGAATATGAGTGATTCATTGTGGTAAAGAAAATTATAAATCTGAAGTAGAATTAAGTCAACTTAGAGAGTCAGATTGGTATTAGTATATAATTTCATCTTATGTCAGGTAAAAGAACAGATTCTTCCTTGTTATTAGATTAACTAGTCAAAGGAAGCGCTCGATCCACACTCAATTTGAGCATACGATGAGTCCTTCGATCAGTACACAGGTCCTGAGAACCCAGATTTTTTTTATTGAGTACATCCCCAGCGTAAGGCAATCTCCAACCGAAAAATTCAATTTTAATACTAAAGGAGATTTACATACATATCACTTTATTTTATGCTATTTATATATCTAACACTCAAAACATCAATATTATATGCCTACCACCCATACAATAATTTTGGGTGCATGAAATGAAATATTAAAATTTATAAGATGGTATGAATGATAGAAATGAATTATATGAGTGGTATATTTGATATTAAAGTTTTATATAGGTGGTATGTATGTAATATTAATATTTTAGGTGTTAGATATGTAAATAACATGAAATAAAGTGGTATGAGATTTACATACATACCACTTTATTTTATGCTATTTATATATCTAATACCCAAAACATTAACTCGTTTACAACCGAACTTTATTTTCAAATACCAAAAAAGAATATTTGGTATATATTCTTTCTCATAATTTATTTAACCTAATTTTCGGTTTTTTTTTTTAAATTTGAATGTGAACAGTGCGATGTGAATATTGACGTCGCATTGTACACCCTCTGATGAATGACCCTTTTTTTTTTGACATCGGCTGGAGCAAATGACGGAGGCCAAACAAGTGTTTGGCGTTCGGCTGAAGATGATCTAAATGAGCACATAAGCATATGGGTGGACTCTTTGTTTGTGAAATTAGTCATGGTGAATCAAGTCAGCTTTGTGTGGATTGAAGCAAACTGAGTGAGATGAAATCATCTCAAATAAGTATAGAAAGGTTTATTGTGATTTTATATCATTAATTTGAGTTTTTTATGTTTTTTTTTTTAAATTCCTTTGACATAAATTCGCGGCTTTCTAATACAGTCGATATGCTCAGCATTTAGAGCTTTTTTTAGGTTGGCTTAATGTAACGGAAGCTATTTTATGCTATATGCTAAAGTAATGTAAAGAGCAATTATATCTTTCATCATCACCTACACCTCCTGTCCCACAGAAAAATTATTAGGTGCAAAGTGCGCATCGTCCGCACAAGCACTGGGTACCTAGCGGTACCGAGTGGTACCTAGCTAGGTACCCAATACTTGTGCAGACGGTTCTCCCCGTCCGCACTCCGCACATAATAATCTCTCTCCCGCGAGCAGGAAAGAAATTCAATCTGTGGAAAGTGCTGCACTCTATGAAACTAGATGTCAAATAACTTCTATAAAAATTAATAAAGCTATACTCCCAAATATACTCAAACAGTTAAGTAAAATAACTTATTTTTTTTTTTCAACATAAATATTTTATGTTTCACTGGACTTGACTTGCCTAAACTACTGAACTCATGCAAGATCTAATACTTCCATAAAGTCTTGTGCGCACCACCTTTAAAGCTTTATTTGAAGAGTAATTATTCTATGCTGAGTCTGAACACAATATATACAGTGTATGCAGTATATTTAAACTTACAATCCAAATAATTCTCTGCTTCTTAAAATAACTTTTTAATTAAATTTTTTTAATTTTTTAACTAAAAAGTTTTAAGCAGAAAGAAAACCCCAAACGAAACCTAAATTCACATATTGAAGTTGAATATCCCCATTAGTCATCTCCAAGAAGCATTTACTTACATCAGCTGAAAATGTGTTGAAGGATAAATAATAATAATAACTTGGTATTAGATGTCCTGACAAAACGATTGAAACTTTTTTAAAATTATTTAAATTTATTTTATAATGACTATACCAGATAAATAATTTATAATATATTTATTTTAAATCCTAATAAAAAAAATTGATCATAAATATTATTTACTTTATTAAAATGATTCAAAGTAAAACTTATATTTAATAAAAAAAAATTAATTTAATATTACTATGAAAATATCCTGAAACGAGAAGATTATTTCCCTAAAATAAAAAATCCAAATTAAATATTTTGCAAGTAATTTATCATCCTTTCCAAAAAAAATAATATTTATTAATATAAATAAGGCTCTATTTTGAAAGAACAGACCACCATTCTGCTTATGAACATTACATAAGGCGATTTTCCTTGGATATTAAATAAAAACATATTTATACACTATGCCATGCTAACCTTTCAAGGCAAGCAAGCACTGAATGACTGCCCTCCAACCTGAACAAAGTTGGCCCTATAATTTTGTTAGCCAGTCTTTTTTCCTAAACAAATTAGCATATACAAAGAAAAGAACAAAAAAATTTCTGCCAAAATCTCAGGGCCAACTAACTTAGAAGCTCCTCTGATGTACAAATATACTGCAAAGCTATGGTCATTTTCAGCCATTCAGCTTTCGCAGGAAATGGCCTAGATCGTATTCTTCTGAATATTGAGACTGATCCCAAAGCTCCTCGAGTCCACTGAGTATAGCCTTGAGGCCCTTTTTACCTGCTGGCCTGGAATCCTCATCCAGCCCATTAGAACTCGAAGTGCCAGCAACCTGCACACATGCCAATGATGAGTTGAAATAAGCAGAACGCTTTAGCTTCAGGAAGAGAAAATGAGGTGCAAGATGGTGTTCAAAAGGCTAAAATTTATACAGCTCAACCTAGTCGAGTAATTGAGAGATTCGGGTTCTAATGCATAGGGATAGACCCGGCCTTAATTTTTAGGGGGGCAAACTTACTTAAAGATGATTAGTCATTCAATTTCTACAAACGGTATGTTGAAGTTGCCTTCAATTTGGCTTGACCCGTATTTGTTCATATCCTTAATCGTCGTACGCTTCGTAGATATGTCGGGGGTTCAAGTGGGCAGCGCCTCCTGGCGGGGTTCAACCTTGTCGCAAGGTCAAGGGGCAACGCCCTTGCGGGGGTTTGTGGGGGCAACGCCCTCGAAACAAATTTTGATTGTAAAGATATTTTTGGTATTCAAATTAATAAATAAAATGTGTTTAGTTATGCTGGGGACAATTGCCTAAAGACTATAATATTTTAAAACTTTTAGGGGGGGGGTCAATTGCCTAAAAACCGTTGTAATAAAGACTAAAAAATAGACAGAGGGACAAATTATCTAAAAAATCATATAATAAAAAAAAAAATATTTTTTTTAAGGGGGGTCCGCCCATGTCAATGCAGAGGGTATGAGTTCGAGGCTTTCCGCAAACTGATAAGATGATAATACCAAAAAACAAAGGGAGGAAGCTGGCCCATCTGTACTGCAGTCCCTATGCTAAGCGTGCATGAATGCATACGCTTATCGAGAACTTAGCACACATGTGCACTGTTCACAGTTCCTTTCTGGTTAATTATAAGTCATATATATCTCCTCTTTCCTAACTCCAAAAAGAGCTTGCATACAAACCACATATTAGAAAAAAAAAAAAGAATCTTTGTTCAAGTAATGAGAATGCTATCACAGTGCAAGCCTTTAAATGTGTCTGCATATGCCTATGATATGGACTGCACATAATTCTGCACAATAGAAATGCAAAGTGTTGGTCCTTTCTTTACAGCACACTTAACCTAAAAATAAATTCGAATGCAACAATAACAACAAAAAGCCTTTGTCCCACTATGTGGGGTCAGCTACATGAACCCTTTTCGCCATTTTCTTGTTAAAAGTCAAAATCTCATTTAAATCTAATAAAGAAATATCATTTCTAATATTTTCTAACCAAGTCTTTTTAGGTCTACCTCTACCTTTCTTAACATAAGTCAAATCTAACTCTCCTAAAAGGGTCATCGGGAGGCCTCTGTTTAATGTGGCGAAACCATCTAAGGCGACTCTCTCTAATCTTATCTTCCACTGGAACTACTAAAATCTTTTCAAGTATATGCTCTTTTCGTATCCTATCTCTAAGGGTAAAGCTACTCATCCACCTAAGCATCCTCATCTCTGCAATACTTAACTTAGTATTATGCTTCTCTTTTAATGGCCAACATTCGGCACCATAAAACATTGCAGGTCTCACCACCATCTTATAGAATTTTCCCTTAAGTTTGAATGCAAGAAAATTAAATAAATAAAAACCCTTCAGTGTTGTGGTGAGAATGAATCATTTCAGGAAACTACATAAGTTTTCTCATTTTGTATCTAAGGGTCAGATAATTACTCAACCAAGACTACGCAGGAAAAAAGGATTACCTTTCCAGAGGCTGAAGCAGGAGTAAACAGATCAAGCAACTGATCTGTGTTCATTGTTTTCAGGCTAGCATTCTCTGCATTAATTACAGCATTTGCAACAGAGAGTTTGAACTTCTGAAGACTCATAATCTTCTCTTCCAAGGTGCCCCGCATGATGAGACGATGAACATTTACGACTTTCCGTTGACCCAACCTATGCGCCCTGTCCATTGCCTGAGAATAACAAAGCGTAACACATTAGTAATGAATATTCCACGTGTTTAAAGACAGATGGCCTGGATATTCAACCCCAGTAGACTTGGGTGAGAAAGAACATTAGCATGAATCTCATTATAAAATCATTTCTCAAGATATGTCATCAGCTTATGCGCCATGACTAAAACCACTAATTTCATGGAACCTGAATATTCTCCTAGAAGCCTCAGATTAGTATTTAGTGCATTTCCAGGTAAAAAAAAAAACTTGCCAAAGGCCCAAAACAAAGTGAAAGAGTTTGTTGCATTGATATTTAGCAGAAAACAGAGAAAAAGAAAAAGAAACAGGTAAAAAACCGACAGATGTAGAGGAGGCAAGGTTATGTAAAAAAATTGAGGTTGATCATTTATAAAGGATGCCTACCAGCACAACCTACATGTTAAAATACAAATACAGCTAGGTCCTCATAATAACATTAATCTTTGGGACAAATCCATTCTCAAGAATCATTTTGTTATATATATATATATATACACACACACACACACACAAATAAGTAATTATACGTATATTAGCATATATGAATAAAATTCCTGATAACTTTAATTTCATAAACTTACATATTACTGTCTTCACGTGACACCAAAGCCACCTAACTGCTTCTAATTCTCCCAGCCTAGCATTACACTCCTACACACACCCAATTCTACGTAACCTACTCCAACCGCCATCTAACATCTTACCTCACTACCGCTTGAGCTCGCCACCTACAAAACTTCTCTTCAACTTCTCCTCTTCTTCAAGTATGCACCAGGCCACACAGCCGCAATTTCACTAGCGAACCAACCAACTCCCTCTCCCTTTATTTCATTTCTCTAATAGAGAGAGTTAAGTACCTCTCTCTCTCTCTCTTAAGTATCTCAAACTCTCTCCTATTTTCTCTCTAACAGTAGACTTGGATTGAAGACTCCGACAGCATTGTCGCTTGAAACCAATCATACACGCTTTTCGTAGTATGAAGGGCATGCTTAGCATCTCTATAAAATTTCCTTTATGCATAGAAGACACCGAGAGACTGTCGAAATCCATACCAAGTGTAATTATAGGGAACTAGACCTAAAATAATATTTAAAGAAAAATCACAACTAAATAAAATTTGTAAAACCAAAATAGTGACAAGGAACTTGTGATGCACACTATAGCTCATTTACATGTGAAAATAAGAGAGATTTCAAATGAATAAATCTTGCTTATTGATGAAAACAAGGACTTTTAACGAATACATCAACTCGCCTATGGGCAAGAATAAGAATAAGAACTTGTGATGCATACTATAGCTCACTTACAGGCACAAACAAGGGACCTTTAATGATAACGACAACTTGCCTAAAAACAATATCGAAGGATTTGCAATGAACACAGCAATGCGCCTATGAGCGTGAAGAGGGTACTTGTAGCGAACACATCAATTTGTTACCTTAGGATTGGAGTTGTAACAAATACATCGATAACCTGAAAAGAATGCTACTACTTTGATAAAGATGCCACAACATCCTGAAGAATGCAATAACCCAACAAAGTGCGCACTAAAAAATGTAAAGTTGTTTTCAAAAGCATGCGAAGAAATTGAAAGCAAGTGAACACACTACGCAAATGCACTTAAGTGCGTGCAAGCACATTGCATGAGCGCCCCAAAAAGCATGTCAATACATTGGAAGCATGCATATACATCATGCAAGTGCACCAAAATGCATGCAAGTACATAATGTGGATACATTGAAAAACGTGCACGACACTTGAAAGACAACTAAAATTCTCACATGTGCTCCAACCATTATTTTAAACTTTAAATCCAAAGTCTAAAAATGATGTGAGGGGGCTAAAGAGCAATCTAAGATTCAAGTCCGATCCGCCTTAAAATGGATTAGAGTTGATCGACATGAGTTGAACTAAAAATCAAACATGATCCTCTGTTGGTAGGCAAACATAATTGACAAGGTTCAAATAACCAAACTATGAATTACTTAAAACCTCGACGGTGATCGTGTTAAAAGTGAATATCAACCGGAGGGCACACTATCATCAAAATGCACCCAATGTGCACTAAGATCGAACATGATCCTCTATTAGAAAGCAAATAGAATCAACAAGGTTAAAATAACAAAAAATATAAATTATTTAAAACTCGAATGATGGTCGTGTTGAAAGCTAATCTCAACCAGAGGGGTCAACAATCATATTTAATTGAAATTTTAGAACTCAACATCTACCAAATTTTAAAAATCTCAAGTGAAATTTAATCAGCTCTAACTTAAAGCAAAACTCATCCACGTTCTGCAACCATTTGGAGAGTGCAATGAATTTAAGAATAACTTCAACTCAAAATGAGCAAATGTCCAATCGAGAATATCACTATAATAAATTCTCAAACAATATATTTCCACTAGGGGTGTAAACGAGTCGAGTCGAGTCGTGTTTTGGCCCTTATCGAGCTCGGCTCGTTAGATACAAAGCGAGCTCGAACTCGAGCTCGAGCTCGAACTCGAGCTCATAAACGAGTCGAGCTCGAGCCGGCTCGCGAGCCGGCTTGGCTCACTTACACCCCTAATTGCCACTAAGGATGTATTTATCATCTAACCGGTTGGTTGGCATGACTTCATAGAACCTGTGGCTTGGCTCAGTGACTCCACAGAGTAAAGGTTCATAATTAATCCTCAAATCGATGGTTTCGCCGAACGGCTCCACAAATAACCTGTGGCTTGGCTGAACGACTCCAAGGGTCAACGATTATGACCAAGGCCCTCCGACTCGGTGGCTTGGCCCAATAACTTCACTATATTGTGATTATGGCTAAAGCCTATATATTCCCAATGGCTAATGCCCTTAAGTAATGAATAATATGGTAGAATCGATAGGGCGCAAAGGATTCTTCAATCAAGTTAGGTCAACTACCTTCTCTGATTAAATAGACTAAAGATCATGACAACCTAGGATGACAAAACTATAAGATCTTGATCAAGTTCGTCGTGAATCCTCCAACATCCGCTTTAAGTAAAATAATGGTAAATTTCTAATTTTAAATATATAAAATTATTGTTATTATATGCTGAGTATTTAATACATGTTTAATGACTAGCCTTAATCGAAAGTACACTCTCATTATTGGAAGATGTAATTAACTATAGAAGCTTGCACCTATAAAAAATCATAACTCAAATCTTAAAGTCCTCACATAGGAGGATGAAATCTTTGAATAATGTCTTTATCTCCAACCAACTTCCTTTGAAAATTTCCCGCGGAATTTAATCCGTTAAAACTCTCCCCAAATGTACGCGGAGAGGCCAGGGGACTCGAAAGCTAAATTTACTAAGGTTGTATGAAGAAATGTATTTATTTATATTATAATCAATAGGTTCTTCTTAATGATGTATTTCTTACTTTGTTCCAAAATAACAGATGTTACACACATGGCACATATCTTACACAATACATCTAGTTGCATGGTTAGAATTTTTTTTTTTTCAAATGAAGATCCTAGGTTCATGGGACACTATTGCAAAACACCATTCTAGATGCTACTTCGCACGACCTAACAATTCTCTTTAACATCAACCCACAAAACAAACAAAGTCATAAATAATTGCCTTGTTAGCCTCTTATGATGCCATGTTGATGATCATTTAGGCACTTGAGATCCACTTCTTAATGCACAATTTACCATTAAAATTTAATTAATCGCACTAGTGATTCTCCACTTCAAAGTTGGTTAAAAAGAGAGATATATTCCCATTTATATACATCTTGAGTGTTTCCACCTAAATAACTTTAGAACACTCCACACCTCTACAAAAGCTCTTCTGGCCCTTCCAACCTCAAAAAACTCAAACCAAGATTTTCAAAATTGGGCCACGCATTGAACCAATGGAAAGAAAGATTCAAGATTTAAAGGTTTAGCCGATATCCAACCGGGAGTTCAATTATGATGACATAAGATTTCTAATAACGATGATGAGTAATAATTATATATATATATAATATGAAATATAAAATATATTCATGAAATAGGTCCAAAACAATATTGCATTTCCACACTATCTCCCCATTATAATATCTACTCAAGAATTCAATTGGTCTCAATTTAAGGGTTAAGCGGTTTAACTGTCGATACTTACCAGTTAACCCAACAAATCTATTTTTTTTTATTAGATTGAACCATTTTGAGAATTGGTTCACAATCTAATTTTCAGAGACATGCTCAAACGTAATGCTTCCTTAATTACAATGTGTCACATGATTAGCACTAGCCTATTTTTCAACATAAAGGTCGGATACCCTGGCACTTTTGAGCCTTGACTACAAACAATTAATGTTTTTGCACACTACCACAAGTTCCTATCATGCCTACTCCCCCACACCAATCTACTGACATTGTTAAATATACATTACAAATTTTATCAAAATTTATCCCTTTTCTTGATAACATTTCATGATTCATCAGTGTAATCATTTCACGAGGATGCCCCTTGCCAAGCTATGCTTGTGGAAGAATACCTTCACCTATACTCTCAAGAGAAGTTCTTTCCCACTAGTAAATGATGACGCAAATTAGATTCAACAACATTGATATCCAACATGACTCTGAATACGACTCTACAATTGATTATATTTACATTTCGTGTGTTTGAACTTGATAGGCATTCTAGAAAAATATTTTTCTAACTGTCATGCCGATATCTAGTAGCACTTCATGCACATATGAGACCAACTAATGGTTTAAGAACTATTTAACTTAACACCCCCTTCTCTTACTTCGTTTTTCTTAAACCAACCAGCACCCCCTCCTTCCTGTTCCTCTATTCCCCACCTCTTCATATCCATCATTTTCCTCCTCAATCTCAACCCATCAATCTCTCATAACACCAAAATATTTTGTAACCAAATCCCCTCCACCTATACCCATTACATAGTCAGAAACCACTAAAACCCTACTTCAAATAAGTCAGACTACCATGAATTCACGTGAATCCAACTTTTTAGATCCACTTGACGACTACACATCAAGGTTTTAGGACTGTCTTGCAATTTTAAAAATGATCTAAAGCAACAAGTTTAAATATCAAAATGTCATAAAATTAATAGCAATCAATTGAAATATACAGCTATAATTACAAACAATCATTTAACATAAAAATAAAATTCTCTTATAAAATTATTTTTGAAGGAAATGAAGCAAACATATCCAATTGCTTTATCAAATATCAAAATAGAAACATTCTCAAGTAAACCAAACCCCTTTTTAGCCTCATTCAACCAGGTATTAAGAGTAGAATTACATTATTTTTCAAATAAATAATTAAATATTTAAGGCAGCAACAAACGCAACAGAAATTGGTCATTTTTTTCAATATAAAATTTTCAATAAAGCCCCAAATTTTATTTACTTGAGAATACACAAAATACCTGGTGATCCTTCATAGGATTCCAATCATGCTCCATAAAGACCAATGTATCAGCAGAAGTCAAGTTCAAGCCAAGCCCACCAACTGTAGGTTGTGAATCAATAAATACCCAAACAATAGAAACAAACTTGATAAAGATAAATCTACAGAACTTACCATGCGTTGTCAACAATAACACATCTATAGTTGGATCAGAATTGAACGTTTTTACAATGTCAAAACGTTTATCAGGTTCAACAGATCCATCAAGCCTTAAATACGTGACACTGTTTCAATTAACAATTAACACAATTAGACTAACCATGAAGCGCTAGGAAGAAAAAAACAAATAAAGTGTATCATTGTCATCATCAATAGCCTTATCCTAACTATTTGGGCATTGATAACTAAAAATTTATGATTATTCAAAATAAATTAATGGAATTCTAAAAATTATATGTAGATACTAAATATAAGATGAAGCATAAAAAAATAATAATAATAATAATAAAAGATGAAGCATCATAACTTGCAGTCAGACAAAAAATCAAGATGCTCCTAAAAGTTCTCAATAAGTAGCAGTAAAACTGAAATTACTTGAAAGCCCAATTAAAAACCTCAAACCTGAAGCCATGGATGATGAAATTCATAAAACAAGAAATACAATAATAGCTAAGAAAAAATAAAGAGAAGAACCAGAACTTTCCACCTTCCTCGCCAGTAAGCTCTCAAAAAAGTTCAGTATATTCCCATTAATTGGACAAAAAAAATTATAAGCTACTAATTACACTCCTAGACTAAAAAATATTAAGCATATTGATTAATAGATACAAAAAGCTAGATAAGTTAGAACATTTAGCCTCTCCAAATTTACACGTAAATATAGCTATTATGCAGGTTTTATCCTTATTTAGTAATTTTTCTTTATATAGCCAGTTTGGGATTTAAACCATCATCAATTCCTTTAACAACTGGCAATTTATTGGCATGTGAAAGAGATAACTTTCTGAAGAGTTTTTTACAGTTTTGACCCAAAAACAAGGGATAAGAATTAATTAAAAGTATTATTTTAATACCATTTGGCAAAACTTAAACTGACATGTGAAATTAACATCTTGAAATGGGGCGCAACTTATATATACCCCCCTTTTATTTTTTAATCATCTGAATTTTAAGAATATAACTGCCCAAGCTGGAGGAATCCGAAAGGTGAAGTTTTTATTTCTTCTATATGTTTTTACAGGAGAAAAATCAAAATTTTATCATTAAATCAAATGCGATTGGTACTAAGATAGCTGACTGTATAAAGAAATAGCCATAAAAATTTTAGACTCTAGAAATAAATCAAAAATTGACTTAATGGAGGAGCAAGGAGATTCAAAAAGTTAAATAAATAAATATCTTTTAAAAGGAGATAATAAATAAGCATAATTAAATCTCACGAAGAGTCAGTGATTATAGAGGTGTTATAAGTTTTGCAAAGAGAATAACAAGTGAAGTAAAAAAGCTTCAACTTTAGATGATTCATTCATAGGACAACTTCATAGATAATGATCTATAATTTTAGGGGTGTAAAATAACATTAATGGCTAATTTTACTAAAAGATAAGGTGATATGCAGATGAAAAAAGTGTGAGTGAAGCGGATCTATTATACAATAGAATATGAACATAGACAAAGCTATAAATTCTTAAGTTAAAGATAGGTGATTGAAAATGAAGAATACCACACGAATACTCTGCAATAGAAGAATGTTATGAAGGCCTAAATGTGCATGATTTAAGACCACAATTAGCCAACTATGTTGCATGGGTCCGAGTGTTGCAAAATGAAGATGTCAATTATGGACAAGTTGTCTCTATCTTCTTTTGAATGAGATTTAAATATAAATATCCAAATATAATAAAATTGTATGAATTATTCAAGGTAGTTAACAAAAAATTGATAGCTTCGTGCGAAAAAAATAAAATAAAAGGAACAACAGTTTATGCATGAACAAAAAAAGCCTAATGATAATCGTAAGTTTGATATCCAAGGATTCAAATTTTAATCATATGAGGATACTTGTTCATGTTCCCATCATTTTCTTGCCAAAACATGCATTGCTCTTGCCCAGTCATTACGTCATCAACTAGAATCAAATCACAAATCTACCTTAAGACGATACAAATCCCTTAACTTTTCAATTCACAATTTTCGCATTTAAAATCTCAGATAAGACTAACATAATTAAGAGTATCTATCAGAACAAAACCGAGAATCTAAATAAAATTTAAATTCAACTTATATTATGCAAAAAACGGTAAAGAAATCACCTCTTCATGTGAGCATTAAATAAGTCCCTCTCGATAATATCCAAAAGAGACTGCAGGGAAATGCCAAATTAGAAAAAATAAATAAATAAATAAAACCAAGGATGATGGAATAACTTTGTGCTTCCCTACTGAAAAAAACTCACTCTGTGCTGAGCAAAAATCAGAACTCTATGTTGCCCTATTGAAATAGCACCTTCTGAACTTGTTGTGTCAGTGCCAATCCCACACTCTTCCAAAATTTCTTGAAGAGCCACCAGTTTCGGAGAATGGTGCAGCTCATGAAGCGCTGAGAGAAGATCATTGCAATCAGGAATAACATCAGACAGAAGGCCTTTCAGAGACTCCAGAGTCTTTTCACCAATCACAAGCAATGGATGACTACAGAGTTTTAACAAGTATTGTATCGCCTGTATTGGAAAAAAAAAGTATGCTAAGAAAGGATGAAACTACAACAAAAAAAGTAAATATAGCAATTGTTTCAGATTCAGCGATTCAGCAAGTACCTGGAAGACGTGAGAAGTCGCCTTAAGGGGTGCTTTTGCAACTGATTCGCTGCTAGTCTCACTCTCTGTAACTAATGATGAGATTTCCCTTTTAGAATCTGAACTTGAAAATTGCTCATACAGTTTAAGCTGTACAGGACTTAAGTTGCAGTATCTGTCCTGAATAATTTTCTCAGGAAGATCAGACAAAACTTCATCTTTTGTTCGACGGAGCAGGAATGGCATGACCTGCATAGCAGCATCAACTCAATTATTTCAAATATTTTTGCAATGGTGCATCCTGCATAATGTGATGATGGTAACAGTCACGCTGATTTTACCTGCTTATGTAATGCTTCCATGGCAAGCACCCCTGCTTCAGCATCCTTAGCAGAACATTTTGAATCTTTAGCAGCCAGAAGCGGTTTTCCATATGTTGCTTGGAACTTCAAAACCCATGCAGCAGATACACAGATGAATAAATGACATGCATGGATGTATGCCCACATATTTCAAAAGAGAGAAAAGATCAAAGAACTGAAATCCAAAAACAACCAACATAGAAGAAAGCTTAAAGCTATAAATTAGCTTAAGTTCATCCCCAACGACCATAACCTTTGCACGAGATAACAGCATCCAGTGAGTAACATACTAAAAATGTAAAAAAGGTAAAATACAAATTTCTCTTTAAAATCATATCCTTGAGTAACATAATTAAAAATGTAAAAGGTACAATACAAGATTCTCTTTAAAATAGTATCCTTGAGTAACATAACTAAAAATGTAAAAAAGTACAATAAAAATTTTTCATTAAAATCATATTCCATTTTTTTGCATATCCAAAAAATGAACAAAAATGTTTTTTATAAAATTCTATATTTCATTATGGTTATTTTGATATATTGAAGTGTGTGTGTGTGTGTGTGTGTGTGTGTGTGTATATATATATATATATATATATACACACATCTTAACTCATATAATTAATGTATGTATTAAATTCTTGCAACAAATTGAATTGAGTTTCAGGTTGCTAGTATTGAAGGACTTGAATGAGAAAAAAATATTTTGAGGCTAATTTTCTGTTAAATTGGATTGTTAATTTGAGAAGGGTTGGGTTATAAATTGAGAAAATTATTATTTTTAAGTGGTTTAAGAAAAAGAACAAGACAACAACATAATAGAAATAAAAAAAATGTTTAGAGGAGGATCTTACAATTGTGATAAGATATTCAATCTTTAATATAAGAAATAAATTATTTCCAGGCCTATTATTTGTGAATCCTTACAATTAAATTTAAATATCATGTGAATAGGTAAAGATTTTATTCATATTGAGCATGCAAATAGTGCCTAATGTTATTAAAAAGATTATTGTATTCTATATGATCACCAGTTCATAAATAATTTCATAATATTTCTATATAACTCAAGTTTTAATATTGTTTAACAACACATGATGCATATTTAAACCTAGATATCAACTTTTATATATTATGTTATACCTTTGATGCATGTTAATATAGATTATTTGAAAACAGGTGCATGTCAAATACTAAATAATTTTAAAGTCCTATTAAATGATGATAAAATAAAAATCCTATGAAAAGTTATGACATGTGAAAAAAATTAGTATATTAATGCTCTATGTAGATAGAAAAAAATTCTGACAATATAAGCCTCAACAAAGAACAAAAAGAAGTTCCCAACTCTCAATACTAGAAAGGTTGGGCAGTTTAACCTACATTAAAAGATCATTAATAATTGCTATGATGGATTGTTAAAATTTAATCAATGGCGATTATGACTAATGAGCTAGGTGATGATCAACTGATATAAAAGTACTAAAAGCCTACATAAACAATAATGATATTTTTAAGATAATGATCAATTAAAATGAGAAAGAAAATGAAAATAAAACAAGTAATTTCATACAAGCAATTGACTAGTATATTGCATTAAATGATTTGACATTCGATAAATGTACTTCATTTACTTGCAAATATTCATGTTTATAGCTTATAGTTAAGTATTTCACTTATCTAATCATCAAAGCATGTCTTGAAATATTTTTTTTTGCGCTAAGATAGGTACATTATGAATATTGATACTCATATCAATTCATATGATCAACACTTACAATAAGCCACTATCTCAATATGTGGAGTCGGTTGTATGAATCATTTTCTCCATTATGTCCCATTAAGAGTCAAATTATCATTTAAATCTAATAAAAAAGACCATTACTAATACTTCATAACTAAGTCCTTTTAGTTTCATTTCTAAATTTCTTAATATAGACTGGATCTAATGCATCTCTCCTAAAAAGATAACGACCACTAGATCAACTCCAACCTTTTCACGTATATATTCTTTCACATTTTGTCTCCAAATGTTAAGCCACTTATCCCGAGCATCCTCATATCTACAAACCATAACTTAATTTTATGTTTCTCTTTTAATAATCAAATTTTTGCGCCATAAAGCATTGTAGAACTCACTACAATCTTATAAAATTTTCTCTCAAGTATGAGGGGTACATTTATATCACACAACAGGCTCGATGTATTCTCCACTTCAGTCATCCAACTTGAAGACTACTAATGATATCCCTATTTATTTCACAATCGCTTTAAACAATAGACTAAAGACATCTAAAATTAGTACTCTTTTTAGTAACTTGATCGCCCAATATCATCATCACACCACTAGATCTATTACTACTAAAACTACACTTCATATATTTGATTTTAGATTCACTCAAACAAAAACCTTTAGACTCTAAGTTTGACCTTCATAATTCAAGTTTTTCATCAACTCCCTCTCTAGTCTCATCAAAAAGAAGAATATCATCAGTAAAAAGTGTACACCAAGGTACATCATCTTGCAAATATCTAGTAAGAACATCCATGACTAAAGCAAAAAAAAATATGGGATTAAAGCTAATACTTGATGTAAACCAACTAATATAGGAAAATATTTGGCCAAATTATCTCATGTTTGAACATATGTAACAACTCATATATACATATCTTTTAATGACTTGAATGTAAGCATTATTAACTCCTTTCTTTTCTAGAACTCTCCAGAGCACTTCTATTAAAACTTTATCATATGCTTCCTCTAAATCAATAAATAACATTTGTACGTCCTCCTTACTCTCTCTATACTTCTCCATGAAACCTCTCAACAAATGTATAACTTCCATAGTAGATCTATCAGGCATGAATCCAAATTAATTTAGAAAAACATCATTATCACGTCGCAACCTATGCTCAATTACTCTATCACATAATTTTAAAGTAGGAACATTAACTTAATTCCTTTATAGTTAACACATTTTTGTGCATCGCCTTTATTCTTAAAAATATGAACCAACATAATCATTCTCCACTCATCTGACATGTTTTTAATTTTTAAAATAATATTAAAAATTTTGTGAGCCAAAAAATTTATTGATCTCTTAAACATTTACACACATTTATTGCAATATCATCACAGCATACTACTTTTTCACACTTCATTTTTTTATATCTCTCAATTTTCAATATTACTAAGAAGACGATAAAAATAAAATTCTCTATTTTTATTTAGGGTGCTAAGGTCACCATAGTCAATCATATTCTCATAATATTTATTGAAAATTTTATCGAAATATCTTATCCACCTATATTGAATATTCTATTCTAAAAAACACTTTTTGAACTTCATCATTAATGCATCACTTGAAATCCTTACTTCATCTATCTCTTTGCTTGGCTAATATATATATATATATATATATATCTTTCGTCCTCCTTAATATATAATTTATTATATAAATTACCAAGAGCTAAATTATTAGCATTGCATATTGCTTTCTTAGCCTTCCTAAGGGTCCCTTTATATCTTTCCGAATTTTCAAATTTTTAACATCTAAACCAATTTTTTTATAAAAACATTCATATTTTTTTATTTATTAATTTCACCACAAACTATTTTTTATTATTATGAGGTTTTTCTTTTGATCCTCCAAGCACATAATTTACAGCATGCTTAATATCAATAGTTATTTTTTCCTACATAACACTAACTTCCTCATAAACAACCTAAATCCTGAGATTTTGAATCTTACTCTCAAAAATATTTTTATTAGCATTCTTCAAATGCCTCATATAAACCTAGGATAATATTTTATTATATTTCTTCATTTTTCACTCTTTCATTTTAAAGTTCAAAACTAATAAACGATGCTAGATATATAAACTTTCACTTGGAATGACTTTACAATTTATTTTTCTTATAAGAAAATAATCAATCTGAATTTTATTATGTCTATTCTTATTATAAGTGATGAGATGCTCCTCTTTTTCTTAGATAAAATATTAGAAGTTACAAAATTATAAGGTAGAGAAAAATCTAATATGATCTTAACACCTTCATTAGTCGCTCCAAACACATAACTATCATAAATACTTTTAAAATCTTTTACCACTCTATCAGTATGTCCATTTAAATCTCCTCCAATTAAAGCTTTTTTTAAGAGATATCGTTTGTATAAATTCTTCAAAGTCATTCCAACATTTTAGTTTTGAACATATATTTAAAACTATTTGAAGAGCATAAATCACTTATAACATTAAGAGTCTCAGTATCAACAATAATTTTTAAAGGTTAAAATTTTATCACAAATTATATTAATTTTTATAACATTATCCTTCAAATTGTTATCTATAATCACACCAACACCATTTTTAATCCGACTCTTACCAAAACACTATAGTACAAATCCTAAACTATCAATCTTTTTATTTTTTTTTCCAACTCATTTGGTTTCCTGAATACATAAATATTCATCTTTCTATACACCATAATATTTATTAATTCCATTAATTTATCTATAAGAATACCTATATTCTAAGTTCATATCCTAATTTTAGTTTCATGGACTAGCTTCTTTGTCCATATTCATCCGTGATGTGGGAACACTTGCTTATTTAAAACTGCACCCGGGCGTCGATATAGCGGTGCTTAAATGTTTTTCGCTGTATTCAATCCATACATGTCTTAACATTAGCACAATGTAATAAAGGATTCATGTCATGATTGTTTGACAAGTTTTATACTAGTTATCGACTACCTAATTTAACCATCCAATTCTCTCATCTAGGGCTTGGGACCCGGCAACGATAGTCTTATTAATTCATATGATCTACATGAAATAATTGTTTTTTCTTGTATTTTTGAACACTATGTTAGAATTGTTTATTCCATTAAACTTCAAACACATTGGATATTACAAATGTTATTTCAACCAAGAATAAGGAGCAAGTTGGGTCATAATCAAGTGATACAATTTTGTCATATGCCTTATTAACATTTTTGTTGTAGAGTTTTTGATGTATTAGGGAAGAAAAATGTATGTGATATAAATTAAAAACTTTTTAAATGTAAAAATTTATTTCATATAAATTAAAATTTTTTGGTAAGTATAAATTTATTAAAAACTATAGTTCATTCTGATGATTTAATTTATATATGCTCATATATTAATGTTTATGATGGATCTATTAGAGCATTATGAAGTGTAATGTTATTTTCTGAAGATTTAGGCTTCGTTTGACGTGGCTTTTTTACTGCTTCTTAAATTAGCTTTTTAGTACAAAAATTAAAAATTTTCTACTACAAAACTGCTTTAAGAAGCAGTAAAAAAGCTGTTCCAAATGAAGCCTTAGTCACACTAAATTTCTATTCATTCATCCTGATTAGCAAAAGTTAGGATGGGTATAGTGGGAAACGTGTTGGATTGGATTGTGTCTTTATTACATCTCATGTTCTACTGAAGGGATTCAAAATGAGGAGTGACAATGAGTGACTATGGAAACTAGGTCAATTGCTCCAACATGCACTAGATGAGAGTCCATCCAAACCAATAATTCATCAATCTATGAAGAACAAAAATTTAACCAAAAAAAAACTTAGAAGCAGTGTCTCTGAATCTAGCATTCAAGTAGGGAAGACAATAACAAAATAGTAGCAAGGTGTAGGAGGATTGAGTCAAACAAGCTCGAGGGGCTTAGAGGAGGAGAATAATAGAGGGTAGGTCAGGTAGAGTCCATCCAACGCAAGTTTTTTGTTTTTATAAATTCTAACATTTTATTTGTGTGTGTGCGTTCCTATATATATATATAGAAGATCCTCTTCGTATATTTTGAATATTGGAATGTTAACATTTCCTGTATTCCAAAAGCTATCAAATAACTGTAATTTTGTGTAATCATATAGGAAAGCAATGAATCCAATGTGCTAAACGCATAGAACCCATATAGTAACATGTTTAAGATATGACTAAAGCATTCTCATACAGTATTTGTGCTTCATAGTGATCATTCGTTCATTGGAAAGAATTACATACAAATTATTTCAACGTTCATAGCAAGCTAGTGTGCTTGGATTAATTTTTTTCTTGATCTATCTTGGTTAGACATCCAATAGAACTTCAAATGAAAGTTATTGAATAAATAAATGGGGACTAGTACGTCAATACTATAACGTTCCCTTAATATAAATCAAAGCCAGCCAAACAAAAGTTTTCAAAGGTAAAAATACAAAATTTAAGGAAACAAGAAGTAACAAAAAGTTGAATTCAAATTTAAAAGATCTTCAGATGGATTTCAATACACATATGTGAACTACAGCTAAAGTGGGCATGAATGAAAATAAATAGGAAACGAATTACTGTAAGAGCATTATTGTAGAATTAGTCACACAAGGCCATATAATTCACAGCAAACATTTATCAATATGACCTTCCAAGTTAAATTTTAAGTAGCATATAAATGCAAAAAAAAAAAATTCTAAAGCAAAAGAAGCTGGTTAGACTATGCATCACCAAAAATATTATATCAATCCTCTACCGAAAAAAAAGTATACCTGTCTCTCCGTACCAAGAAAACCAGGCATTAAAAAGTCAAAGAGGGACCAAAGCTCCAGGACATTATTCTGAAATAAAAAGAAACCAAGATCATAACAGTTGATACTCTATTCTGGATAATTAATTGTTTAAATGGGAAAATATAGCATGTAAGCACCTAACCTGTATAGGTGTGCCACTCAAGATAAGACGATGCTCTGCCTTTAACTGTTTCACTGCATAAGTTATTTTAGATTTCGAGTTCTTTATAATATGCCCTTCATCTAAAATGCAATAATTCCACGCAAGCTTTCCAAGGAAATCAATATCTTTGCGAATAATATCATAAGATGTTATAATGATATTGTACTTGTCAAATTTTCGGCGAAGTGACATCCTTTCTGAGGCTGAACCAGCATATTGAAGTGTAATCATCACAGATCTATCAATATACTTGTCAATTTCATATGCCCAGTGTGCAACTAATGTGGACGGGCACATTATTAATGACAAAGGATCTTTTCCATTATTGATGGCACGCTGTTCTACAAGGTCAGCTGCTACTATTGCTGCTGCTTGAAGCGTTTTGCCAAGTCCCATATCATCACACAATATTCCATGTAGCTTAAATCGTCTCAGAAAAGATAACCAGTTAATTCCTTCCTGTTGATACCTAAGTTCAATAAAAAATAACAGGAAGACTAAAAATCAAACTCGTGATGTGCTAGACCTCCAAAATATATTGAAGTTAAAAAAAAAAGGGTAGCCAAAATTGTGCAGCAGTATGTTCTTGATTCTAGTAAACAAAAAGCATCATGCAATTTTATTTTTAAGAAATCCAACAATATTAATGATGTGAAACATATGTGAATGGAGGGTGAATTAGGAATTTGCACGCTTGATCTAGAGAACAATATTATTTAAAAGCTTTTAAGCGATAAAACGACGAGATAAAACACGAGAGTGGTGTCATAAGTTTAGGCTAAGTCACATATATAAAAGTTAAATCACAAAAGTAATCAATTACTCTTAACATTGCATGCGAGGTAGGTTTCAACAATGAATCCCTCCACTAACAATAAGACTAGTCACTACAAGATGATCCCTCACTCAACTCTTTCAACTTCTAGGCTTTAGCGGAGAGTAATTAACAAGCTTCTTATGAATCAATTAAATCACATAGTAGGATAACTATGAAGATAAGAGACAAGGGGAAAGAGTTCACCATTATCAAGCACTAGGTAGTAGTTGGAAGCCTCAGATCGGCAACATCATTGGTCTCCAAAGTTAGGACAGCAATCTAGAATGACTAAGGAGTTCTTGGCAGCAGTTGGGGGCCTTCCCGTTGAAGGTGTGGTGCAAGGGAGCCTGCTGAACTATGTAGACAGCAACTTTGGACAGCAGTTTGGCAGCTCCTGAGTGGTAGACAGCAAATGAACCTAACTTGGACTCCTTGGACAGCAATCGGAAGGCCCTGGACAGCTGCTTTCTAGGTCCTAAATGTCAGGGCAGCACTTAGAACCATTCCAGATTTCTGGACAGCAAGTGGAAGGAGGGGAAATCAGTGACTTTCCTCTCCGGGTTGCACAGGAACTAAGGGATTTTAGTGGGGAATCCTGTGGGCAGCTGTGGGAGAAAATATTTGGGATCCAGTACTTGCTTAGGTGGCCAATATAATTAAATTCAGATTAAGTGAAATTGGCGGGATGAATTTGAATTTGAATTCAAATTCTAATTGTGAGAATTAAAGTGGATGAGAGGGAATTTAGGGAGATTTAAATGGGGATCAATTAATGCAATAGAAGAGAGAAAAGCCCCATGAAGGGGCCGGCCACATATAGAGAGGGAAGAGATTAATTATCATTAGTGAGTGGGGACCACAACACTAATCAAAGATTTAATAAAATCTGAATTAAAATTCAGATTTTGAAAGAAAGGAAAGTTTCCAATAATGGGGCTATCAATTAGAATTAATTTGAATTTCAAATTCAAATTGACATCCAATTAATATGAAAGCCTTAAATCAAGGAACTATTTTAGGAAAGTCTTCAATGCCTCTTGGAAACAAATTTGAATTTCAAATTTGAAATTCCCAAGAGGGAGGCCAGTGGTTTGGCCGTCCCAACGAGGTCGGCGGAGCCGCCGGTGGCGGGGTTAGCCTGGGGCAGCCGACGGTGGACTTATGGGGGCCGGTGGAGGGGATTTGGGAGGAAGAGAGTTTGATTAGGTAGAGAAGAAATAAATTGGGTTTAGGAAAAAGAAAATCCGGAGCTACACACCTCGAGCAATACCTCCAATAGAACTCACAAAGAGATCTACAAGCGCCACTTCCTCAAGAACTCACAAAGAAATCTTGGGAATCTCGGAACTCCCAAAGAGATCCTTCCACTTCCTCAAGAACTCACAAAGAGATCTTGGGAATCTCGGAACTCACAAAGAGATCCTTCTCCTCTCATGAACTCACTAAGAGATCAAACAAGTAGAATAAAATTTCATTAACAATTCATCATCCCATTACACAAGAAAGGGCCTCTATATATAGGCCTAAGAAACTAAAACAAGACACATATGCCCCTAAGGCTTACATAGGACGACCCTCTTAAGTGAGGGTAAAAATGAAAAATTTATAATAAAAGTTTAAAAATTACAAATAAAATATAAGATAACGTGGGACGATGACAGCCGTTGATCTTCAGCTCCTCGAATAGCCATGGACGGTTGGATGTCAGCATCAATTAATGCCTAAATAAACAACATCGTATAGCATTTCCACTGGGTACTGAAAATAAAATGCTAAAGCACCTAATGTGACTAAGAAGTGAGAAGTGGGGAGACTCTTGATGCAAGGTCTTGTTCTTGATGTTGAAGAAGGGGTTAGGTTTGACTTTGCATTTACTTTCCTTAAAAAGAAGGAAGGGTTGCAGAGAGAATCACTGTCAAAAGAAATGAAACAAGAGAGATCCGGAAAAAATTGGGAGGGCCGGGGTGCAGGGGGCGGCCAAAGGGAGAATTGAGATATTAAAAGCAAATCTAGTCTTGCTTGAAATTCTATGAAATATTCATAAGCGCCTTGGAATGTGAAAAAAAAAGAAACAAATCAAAAAGAAAAACAAGAAAATTCTTGACGTATTTTTCATATAAGACAAGTCTTTTATAACTTACTCTTTAAAAAAAAACTAGTGATTCTTTCATATAAGACAAATCTTCATGAAATAATCCTTTAAAAAAATACGCTTCATTAGACATAATTAAATAATCAATTCAAATAATGTAGATGATGATAAGTCAATTCGGATGGCAAATTATGATAGTTGAACACTACATCAACTCCCCCACGGTGTGAAGAATTCTTCTCCTAAGAGTTGACTAGCACAAGCTAATGTCCAAGATGGTGGTGGAAGAATGAGCTCGTTTATTTCATTTAATACATGAAAAATATGGTATTATGAACTTGAGAACAAGTAAATGGTCAACATCAACATCCATCATAAAGAACATGTGTGATGATCCATGACATGGCGATTAGTGAATACTATAAGAACTTCACATTATTATATGTTATGCAAGTATATTGAAACGGCAACACAAATATCCCCCGAGAGTGTGGTCATGATAGCAGTGGCGATACAAAGTCAATTCACTAATGATGGGTCATGTAATATATGTGCCAAGAAGTATCTTATATCACTATCTCAAGATGACATGAAACAGTATCAACGAGTAAAATAACAACATTCTAAAATTGAACTTCAACAATAAATAAACAGTGCACAAATTTTATGAACTCTATTAAACAAAAAATACATGGGCACTACAAGTATAAGCATTACCACACACTTTAATGTTTAATTATTTCTTTAATGGAATCAAAAGCCCAGAGTCTAAGTCTATGCCTAAATGGAACAGAATCAGTCCATCAAAAGTTTGATTCTACAGAATGCTTGCTGGTAAAGCCTTTTCCAGCCGACCAATTCTCACCCTCATTGAAAATTAAGCAAACCACTTTGACTACGGAAATCATTCCAAAATTCCAAACCACTTCATTTCATAAAATTAAACATAGGAAAAAAAAAAGTATTTAAAAATATCACTTTAATCAAGCCATTCTATTGTATCTGTGGGCATGGATATGTGGCCCTCATTGCTTATGATGCTATTAAATTCAACATTTGTCTCTGTTGTGATGTATAGAGGCCGGTTGCAACATAGAGAGGCTGATTGCATGCATACATAAAATTTAGCTCAGTATTGTTAATTCCAGTTGACATTACAATTAAAAAAGCATATAGGGCATCAGTTCATTAACCATTTTAGTTAACGAATAAATAAAAAAATAAATAACCAGAATCCCTTATTATTTCCACTTAAAACATTATCCATTATTGTTAAATTTAATGCAGATAAACAATTCGGAATCCATAGTGAAATAAACTTGTACCTAAGAAATAAAGAAAAGTTTAAGCTCATCACTCATTATCCAATTATCATATATAAAGCCATGAAGGTATAAAAAAATGATATAATACCTCCGTAGTGCCAGTTTGATGTCAATGGGGAGCTTGTAATCATCAATATGAGAATTGTCAAGAAGTTGTTCCAAGAAATGTGCATCTTCACTGTTTTTTGATAGGCTTTCACTCAGGCCAAACGGGGAAGGAAGTCCTCTAGCTAATGGCAAAAGAGGCACAAGCGCAGCAAAGCTATGTGTTACACCTTGCCTGACACTGAGGTCACAGTCGCTCATACATTTAAGAAGAGGTACAACAAGTAAAGGAGCATAAGGAACTAACTCCAAGCCCAAACCCTGAACAAGTAAGGTAACCAGCATTCCAGCTCCCTGCCTAGTATGCAAAGATGAACTATCCGCCAACATTGGAATAGCCTTTTCAATGACTACTTCCATGACACTAGTTGTCATTGACTTAGCCATAGAGGTGATACATCTAGATGCTGCCAACCTAACAGCAATATTGCAGTGACGGACACAGCTAAGTACTGATGGAAGAAGAGTTAGCAGTCTTGGTTTCAATGACTCATCGACCAAAGGGGAAATTGAGCGTATAAGCTGAAACAAGCATGCAAACATTCAGTATCCAACTGATATTAAAGGAATTAAAGTGGACTCATAACAAGTCATTTTAGGAAGGCCATAGTATTTAAACATTAGATGAAACGACAAAACAGAAAATTAAAACAAGACAAGGCTAAATGCTAACTGAGGATTATAAAGAAAACTTTAACATTGTCCTACAATATGAAAAGATCTACGTTCCATGCTACATTTCTAACCTAACAACATTGGTCATCACATAAAAACCTATTACGTAATATTTATCAATCATTGCAAAGGTTATATATTCTAAAATATCACAAGTACTTAAAGAAAACCAAAATGGTTAAACAAAACTGGTAATCTACACAAAAATGGAAATCGGAACAAAATAAACAACCTGAATGTTGTTAATCAAAGTCTGAGGATCGATTTTATTGGAAATTTCTAGCATTTCCAAGTTCCGCTTGGTCTCATCAGGGCCAAGAGGCTTGAGAAACTCTGTGAGGCAGTCCCAGAGCTTTGGAAGTTTATCAAATAAGGAAGATCCGAATTTTTGACACAGATGCTTCAGAGCCAGTTCCGCTCCTCGTCTGCTTATAAACCCCTCTACCTTTGCCCTATCCTCATTGGCTGATAGAATTTGGACCCTTGACTTTTGAATGCTTGGCGATCTACTAAACGAGAACACATAAAGATCTTCAACAACATCCATTGAACCAATTTGTGCTGCCTGAGGAGTTTCTGAAGAATCTGCACAAGTTAAGCAGCACAGATTCTTGACTAGTTTGTCATTTGGACCTGGTTTTCGAGCAATACAGCTAAAAATCAGCTCAGCAAGTGCTGCTGCAGCTTCTTGCTGTAATATTTCTTCCTGCGTGGAGATAGATGGCATTTAAGGGTATAGAATTAAATAATTGCGAGAACCAATTTTGTTTGAAATTACAAACCTGCTCTCTCTTTACAGCAGCCATCAAAGGCAAAATAATTGGATTAAGCTTGGCAGGTAGATCTGACATCCAGACCACAGCAGCAGCAACCATTGCTGAAACGGTAATATGCAAGTTGTTCTGCAAAAAGTTGCATGCAATGATTAGATCTCAAGAAAAAAATATATTCTTCTAGGAATTAAAAAGGATAAAAAAATTAAGCAGTACCCAAATAAAAAATAGCACACACCTGTACGCATTTCAAGTACCCAGTAGTAGAAAGAAGTTGTTGTTTTGCAGACTCTAGATCATTCACTGCAGCTTTTTCATAGGCAACAGAATCAGCAGGCTCAGATAGCTTTGAAGCAAAGCTGATTGCCTCGTCAATACTTAGTGTGTCACAACTAATATTAATAGTTGAAATCAAACTCTGAAACACACCACAAGATTCGGCTAATCTGAACAGAATGTTTGCTTCACTACGCATTTTTGCATAAGTTCTTGAAAGCTCAGCATAAGGTAGAAGAGAATCCTTTGTTGGAAATGAAGGATCGGAGCATGCTAACAAATCCAAAAGCCAGTTTCTGACATGCGCCAGAAGACCAAATAATTTTCCTTGTGCTCCTAGACAGTCCATGTTTTGCAGTTCTTTAAACCAAGCAACAAGAACCATAGCGGCTACCTAAAAGAAAATACAACCTTAATGGATTCCAAGAATGGAGTATGAAGTAATTCATATGAAAGTTTTCACGTATGGAAAGAGAACATTTTCTTTTTTATTGCTTACCTGCCTCTGAACTCCAGATAACGAAGTAAGATCATTCCATAATGGATGAATAACAGCAGGCAGAGAAACTTCAGGCAACCTAGAGACAAAGACGCCAAGAGCTGAAGCTGTAACTACTCTTGTATGTGTTACAGGTTTCTCACTATCAGCACCAACAATAATTTTTGTGCTAATAGTAGCACAATCAATCTTATTTTCCGGCAACATACTTCCGTTTCCAACTTCAACAGTGAAGCATGTACCAGTGTCATTGTCACTCTTTACAATCCTCATCTTAGCAGCTGCCCTGAAATGACTTTTGCGAGGAAGAGCAACCGGCCAAAACATTTTAGTGGCATCTAAAGCAGAACCATATGGAGTGGCAGCAAGATGTATCCAAGAAGAAAAATATAACTGGGCAGCAGCTTCCAAATCCTGCCCTGGACACTGGACATATTCTTTAGTAACAATTAGAATCTAATTGCAGATGATTACAGTACTGAAAAATCTTGGAATAACCAACCTGAAGCAGAAGCCTCCAAACCCTTTCAGTAGACAAAAGAACTGCATCATTTGACTCTAAAAGGAGATTCTGGAAAACAATACGCAAAGCATCACCCAAGATAGCAGCTGGCCAAAATCCATTACCTAAGGACTCGGAAGAGCTCCTTCTATTACCAACTTCAAGAAGCCTCTCCTAAAAGATTAAATAAAAAACAAATAGCATTAATTAGAATAGCATGTATCCTCATATACAAACTACATTGAATGCTTCTTCAGGTTTTAAACTGTATTATTAAAAAGAGAAATTAAATCAGATGTGACATCCGGTATACAGACATTAAGGGAAAAAATACAAAAAAAATTGTTGGATATATTTCAACTACAATTCTTAATTTCTTATGTCTAGATATGTGAATATAATGTGCGTATGCATTTTTGATAGTTTGAATGCATTTTAAGTTTTACCAGCAGGAGCACATTGGACTCAACACGTGCATCCATGTTCAAACAGAAATTATGGTACATTGAGTCCTGCACAAACTCAGAGTATCACATATTCTTCTTGAGCATGTTCGTGTTCTTTCTTTAATGACCTTTTTGTGGCACAGTGAATTCTAAGATAGTCAAAGCATGAACTAAGTATATATCCTCTCTGAGCTCAATTCCCAATTTCCCATCTTCTCAGAGTTATCCCAATCTAGCCAACCACACCTCCCCCACAGATTCAATCATTACTGAATTTGAAGCCAAGGACCACTGAGATCATCCTCTGGCAATTTGGGAGCTTGCCAAGCCAATGTTGACTTAATATTTGGCACGAGACAACCCATTTTAATAAAATATGGCTAATTAATTTAAATTCGATTCAATTTTTCATCTCAATGCAATATGATTTGACTAGTTGACTATTGTATAGAAAAAAATCTATAGGTATAAATAAAATAAAATGTAATTTTAATGTTGAGTCGATAACAAAAATAATATTTTTATCTTTAAAGATAATGTATTAGTTTTTATGTCGTATTTGATCATAAAACATTTCAAATCCATTGAAGAAAGAAAAATTTTCCATCAACCACCAAAGAAATCACTATCAAGAGAAATGTAGCACACATTGAATATGTGGTACCTGAGTATAGCAAGCATAAGATTATTCTTGATTAATAGATGATTTTTTTCCAATAAAAAGTGTGTGCTTGCATACTCGTGTGACTAAATGCACACATATATGAATATTGGTACAATGTCCATATTATTTTGAATTTTCATTATATTTTCAAGAGCCATATCAGGATTTGGTTCATATAAGTTGACCATTAGATGAATAAGAAAAAAATTAATGTAACAATTTCACAGCTTCTTGACAGTTTAAATAGAATAAAAATGCAAAAAAAAAAAAAAGCATAAGCCAGATTACCAAAGTTCGTATGGCAGAATGGCGAACTGATGGAATGCTGTGTCTCATGAAAGGCCACAGTCTAGGTGTCAACTTGGATAATACATACGGATTATCTGCATATTTAACCCCATCTCCACGATCATCCAGTTGAGACAGCTTGTTAAGGTCTAGATCCTCTATTTCAACTAACTTCAGTGTACCCAACATCTTCGGAACCATTTCTGGTTGAGAGTATATTTCAGAAAGCAAGTTCATTACACTGTAAAAAAAAAAACAAAAACAAAAAGTTATAAGCAAAACCAATTTGAATCACTGTGAAGCATTTTAATTAAAAAATAAATAAAATGCAAAATATTTCAAAACTATTATCAATACAAACAAAGAAAGGAAGAATATGTGCCAAAGGAAATATGCCTGAAAGCTTAAAGTTTACTTCCGGCGCAACAATTAATAAAAACATAGAAACTAACCATACAAAAATCAAGTTAAAGCTGCAGTAAACTCGGGAGAAACCAGCTTCAGCAGTCTAAAAAATTGATTCCATAATATGACAAGTCATTGTGGGGTCCATTGTTAAAAATAGAATTTATTATCAGGACCTATTTGTCCTTTTCTTTCTTTGTAGATGTAGTTTTGTAATCAAGGGTGTCTATTCTTTAGAGATAACACTAATCACTCTTTTGAATGAAAAATCATAATATTATGTTCATTATACTCTTCTAAGATAATTTATAACTTAAAATATTTAACAGTTAATCAAAATAGCATTTTCATATTTCCTTGATGTCTCCACATTTAACAAAAATCTTATTATCCTCTAATGCATCAAACTTTCATAGATTCTTATATCTTTTTATGATGCTATCTCTGCATGCATACAAGTTTCCTTTCTGTACAGAAATACGCATACAATTTAAATATTAGTCAAAATGACACATATAGGAATATGCATACGCTGTAAATATTAGTCAAAATGATAAATATAAGCAATTATTGCAACATAAATCAATTCATCGTGTGTGCCAATGTTTGCTGAAGCATTTCCAACTAATGAATCCAGCCAAAATAAAACTCAGATTACAACCTATGCAACTTATTATCTATAGAAAAAAATGTTAGCACTTACAAAAACAAATAATAATAATAATAACACAAAATTACCTGCTCGTTGATGGACTCAAGTCATCCAGATCAAGCAAAATATCCCAAAGTAGCATGACAATTGAATGTAGCAGTCCATCACTGAGAGAAACAATGTCTGCAGCAGCAGGTAACAGGCAGTCAGCTGCAACTGCTCTAACATCATCATCTGGATCTTCGAGTCCAGCTTTACATGCAGGAAGAATATAAGGTAACAGATCCTGGAGCATTTCCTAAATAACAGCAACAACGCAAGAGGTGCACTCAGAATTAGAAACTTGTAGAATTGAAATATTACAAGCAGAATATAGAGTGCACAAGTAAATTCATTAATAGCTTTGATATAGTAGACATTTCAATACAATAGCAGCTTTGGTCTTCACATAAAAATACTTTCATATAAGGAGTTATTTGCTAATAAATAATTGTCAATAGACAAATAGAGATATTGTTCTTTGCTTTTCATGATGCAGAGATTTGAGGGTGAAAGGTGATGCGAGTTGCTTACAGATTTACAGGTTGTGTAGTTCTCTATTCCTATAGGTAAATGAGTTATCCCCGGTGGTATGCTGTCATTTTCCCTGGCGCTGTTATGATTATCTGCTATTCACCTGGAACAACGATTATTTTCTTCAAGTGCTCTTTTGTCAGTTGCTGTTATGGCAAAGCTATTTTCCTGGTGTTGTTATGCCTACCGCTATTTATATGGGTCTTGTTCCTAATTTCCTTCTACATTTTGTCTCTGATTTCCTTTATGATTATCTTCTGTTCTGTGATAGAGCATCTCAATTATACAAGGTTTTTCCTTTTACTGTAGCAGTGGAATTATGGATTATATTGGAGTTTGAATTTCATTAGCTATTTGATACCATATTGAGCTATTCTTACGCCAACTATATTGATGCAGTCAAGGACTTCTGTTTTCCCTCTTGGCTCTTTGTTTCCCAAGCTACCCCTTCAGTTTCCGTGCTAGCTTTACTGTTAGCTGCTCGATTTGCCCATTTGTTTAATTTTCCAATTAATTGGGCCGATTTGGAAGAGCTTTGTGGCTGTTTTGGAAAGCTTCAATTGGCTGTTTGGATGGCAAATTTAAGAGAGCATTTAATATACTTTCCCCTTTTTTTCTATATAAGCTTATTTGATGAGGACATCCACCGGAGATTTCGACGTACTTACCATCAGCGGAATCGTAGATTGACGGCTACGATTCATAGTTTATTTTTATGATGTTTTAGTGCATTTCTTTTATTTTTTCAGTTTTTCACTAGTACCCCTGTGAGGGATTTGTGTCATGTTGTAGCCTGAGGGCATGTCTTTTACATTTTGTGCTTTGGAGGCCTATATATGAAGGCCTAGTCTTTGTATTATTTTCGAATGATGATTATGAATGAGAATTCCACTTTCTTGCTAGATCTCTTTGTGAGTTAGTGAGAGGAGAAACCCTTGGCGAGAGGGAGAGCAATACCCGTCAACCTTTCGAGGATTCCAAGGTTCGCGGTTCTACGATATCTTTTCTTTTCCTCTACATCCACCTCTTCTCCTAGCCATCTACCCGCCGGCCTCCCCAACCCCTCCCCGTTTCTCCCCCTAGAGCCGGCCCTACCAACCCGACAGCCACCCTTCCCCACTTGGCCGCCCAATCCGCCGGTCCCAAACCACCCGCCGGCCACCACCCTTCCAGCCACCGGCCTCCCCACCCAATCCGCCCCTCTCCACAAGTCCAAACCGCCAGCCCCTCCAATTGATTCCCAAATTTGAAATTCAAATTTCAAATGGCCATTAATCACTTTCCTAAAATGGGTTTTAGCTAATTAGGAAAGCTTCTAATTGAAATTCAATTAAGCAATTGAATTCAAATTCTTTCATAAGGCTATAATTTAAATTAGGAAACCTCCCTAATTTAAACAAATCTAAAATTAAATTCAGATTTGTGTCAAATCTTTATTTCCTCCCTTGGGGCCCGCATGTTTAATGAAATTAAACTCTCTCCTAGCCCTATATGGCCCGCCACCTCTCTTGGATCCCCTCTCTCTCCTAATTAATTCAAAGCCTCCATTAAAGCTCCCTAATCCCTTCCTAAATCTCTCCAAATAACCTCCTTTCTCCATGCATGCCGCAGACCCCTCTTTGGCCTCCAAAATTTTGAATTCTAGTTCTTCCCTCCACCCCATTATTTCCTATAATTAATTACCCTCTTTGGATAATTAATTCCAAAAGAAAAATTAAAACCTCAAATCCCCTCCCCTAACCCTAGTCGTCCCCTCCCTCATCCCACCTAGCCCCAAACCGCCGCCTATCCTCTCCCCGACCACCAAACGCTGCTCCTCCCCCTCCAAGGCACACAACAAAGAGTCCTACCATGTCCATGTATGGCGGATCCAGAAGTTGATCATGGATTCATTTACAATTCTCAAGGGAGATCGACATAATTCAATCACCTTTCTTTGATACCGGATTTGGATCTAAAGGCACCGTCGAGGAATACGTGGAGTAGATTCTCTTTACTTTGGTGGACGTCATCGACGAGCAACAACCTACAGGACAGGGGAAGATCGCAGGACGACCACCCACCTCTCCAACTCCGACCAACTTCCCGTTGATCAAGATCGCTGGCCTCCTCTGTCTTTCAGTGGCATCACATGGATTGTTGGCATCCCTCCTCCATTAACCCTACTTCTAGAGAGTGAGCGAAAGGGAAACTCGAAGGTGAAAGTTCTATTTGTTAAGTGTCGGATTATTGCTAATTGCATATTTGTCTTGCTATCTTGTTATTGTCTTGAATCATTTTGTTAATCTATCGTGTAACCGCATGCTAGAAGCAAGTCAATAACTACGAAAATTGAAGATCCTAATTTAGTGAAGCATTAATGATGAGGACATCAGAAGATCCATGATCTACGGCCACGATCTACTTTTGATTATGATTGTATTTGATATATTTTATTTTATGTTTTATGAGTCTTTTGTATTTCTTTCCATTTATGCCCTTGCTTAAGGGCCTCGTCATGTGTTTGCCAGAAGGGCAATTGTGTCTTTTACTTTTCTTCATGTATTTGGCTATTTAAGCCTTCTCCCTCCTCTTGGAGAGGGGATGATTATTGATAATGAAAAGTTTCATGTTTTGTTGATCTCTTAGTTATTTCACGTGATCTCTTAGTGAGTTCATGAGAGGAGAAGCCCGAGGAGGGTAATTCGCAATACCCGCCAATCTTTGGATGAGTCCGAGGTTCGCGGTTCTTACGATCTCTGTGTGAGTTCGTTAGTTATCTCTTTATTTCCCGTATATTCTTGTTCTTCTCCTTTCTCCCCTCTTCATCCAACAATTATTCCCCTAGCTCCACCCCCCCAACCTCCGGCCCTAATCCACCCGTGGCCACCGACCACCTAACCACCTCCACCCGTTCCCAAGCCCCTCCACCGTCGGCTTTCTCCCCCTTTCCCCCCACTTGTTTGAATTTTGAAAATTCAAAATTTATTGAGTTCACAATTTTTCCAAATTTGTCAAACCAAATATGGAAAGTTTTCAAATTCAAATCAATTTGAAATTCAAATCGAAGTGGATCTCATAATCAAGCCTTCTAATGCAAACTAGCAAATTTGGAAGGTTCGTATTTTGCTCCCAATCCCCTTTCCTCTCCCTCTTGATGCCGCCAGCCTCACTAAACTTCCCCCTCCATTAATTGTCACATTAACCCCTCCCCCATTTGAAATTAAAATGTAATTTCAAATAAAACTCCCTCCCAAATTTCAAATCCTGAAATTTATTTCAGGATTTATCTTGAAACTCCTCCCCTTCCTCTCTTGAAACCGCCGGCCTCCTCCTCCTTAGCTCCTCCATTAACTCCCTAATAAATGCCTTAACTCTCTTTGAATTGAAATTCAAATTCAAGTCAATTCCTCCCCA